TTCAGTTCCTTCAAAATCTGTCGAAGATTTAATCTACTTTTTTGGCCATGTTTGCTATCGTTTGTTCTTTTTTTTAGTTTTATATTTCAAGATGATGATATTGGAAGAGCCGTTTAAAAGCTTCTCTTTAGATCTGTTGATACTTTCTCGTACTCTTATCAAAGCATATTACTTTTTTTTGCTTCATCGTTAGTGTTGGGTTTAAACGATGGCGTTGTTCAGGTAAAGTTTCTTTTTGTCCAGATAGTGGTATTGTAAATGCTGATCAAGCTTGCCTTTGTTAATGTGAGAAGTTTTTTAACACATTTGAATCGGGAATTAATGATGATTTGGTCAGCGGTGTACTTCAACTCGTTCATTGATAATCAACTAAAATTTCATCATTCACTGATGGAGTATTAGTTCAATCCTTTTAGCCACTTTGTTTTTTAATGTAATTTCGTAATAATGTTTTTGTACGAAATGTTTAATGCTACGGTTGTTTGATACGTTTTTCTTCGGATCTTTTGATTTTTAAAAGCGGTGTACTTAAACTCGTTCCTTGATAATCAACTGAAATTTTAGTATTCACTCTTGGAGTATTAGTTCAATCATTTTAGTCACTTTGTTTTTTAATGTAATTTTGTAAAAATGTTTTTGTACGAAATGTTTAATGCTACGGTTGTTTGATACGTTTTTCTTCGGATCTTTTGATTTTTTGTAATGTAATTTCGTAAAAATGTTTTTGTAAGAAATGTTTAATGCTACGGTTGTTTGATACGTTTTTCTTCGGATCTTTTGATTTTTTCAGTTCCTTCAAAATCTGTCGAAGATTCAATCTATTTTTTTACCATGTTTGCTATCGTTAGTTCATTTTTCTTTTTTTATGTTCCAAGATGATGATATTGGAAGAGCTATTTGAAAGCTTTTCCTTAGATCTGATGATACTTTCTTGTAATCTGATCAAAGCATAATACTTTTTTTGCTTCACCGTTATTGGTGAGTTTAATTGATGATGATGTTCAGAAAAAACAATTGTCCTAAATGTGGTACTGTAAATGCTGATCAAGTTTGCCTTTGTTAATGTCAGAAGTTTTTTAAGACATCTGAATCGGGAATTGTCGACGATTTGATCAGCGGTGTACTTTATATAGTTCGTTGACAATCAACTGAAAGTTTGTTATTCTCTGATTGAGTATTAGTTCAATCATTGTAGTCAATATGTTTTGCTTATTGTAGTAGTTTTGTGTTAATATTTTTGTACCAATTTTTTTTTACTGCAACGGTTGTGTTATTTACCTTTTCTTCGGATCTTGTGATTATTTCAGGTCTTTCCAACTCTGTCGAAGTTATAATCTATTTTTTTGATCATGTTTGCTATCGTTAGTTCGTTTCTCTAGTTTGAAAGCTTCTCTTTAGATCTGTTGATACTTTCCCATACTCTGATCAAAGCATGGTACTTTTTTGCTTCACCTTTATTGGTGAGTTTAATTGATGATGATGTTCAGAAAAAAAAATTTTGTCTTAAAAATGGTACTGTAAATGCTGGTCTTTGTTGCCTTTGTTAATGTGAGAAGTTTTTTAACACTTTTGAATCGGGAATTAATGATGATTTGGTCAGCGGTGTACTTAAACTCATTCATTGATAATCAACTGAAATTTTATCGTTCACTGATGGAGTATTAGTTCTATCATTTTAGTCACTTCGTTTTTTAATGTAATTTTGTAATAATATTTTTGGTACAAAAATTTTAATACAAAACTACTACGTTAAGCAAAACATATTGACTAAAATGATTGAACTAATACTCAATCAGAGAATGACAAAATTTCAGTTGACTGTCAATGAATTAAACTTGTTCATTGACAGTCAACTGAAATTTTGTCATTCTCTGATTGAGTATTAGTTCAATCATTTTAGTCAATATGTTTTGCTTAACGTAGTAGTTTTGTATTAAAATTTTTGTACCAATTTCTTTTACTGCAACGGTTGTGTTATTTAAGTTTTCTGTGGATCTTGTGATTATTTGAGGTCTTTCAAAATCTGTCGAAGTTATAATCTAATTTTTGATCATGTTTGCTATCGTTAGTTCTTTTCTCTAGTTTGAAAGCGTCTCTCTAGATCTGTTGATACTTTCCCGTACTCTGATCAAAGCATGGTACTTTTTTGCTTCAACTTTATTAGTAAGTTAAATTGATGATGATGTTCAGAAAAAAAAATTTTGTCCTAAAAGTGGTACTGTAAATGCTGATCAAGCTTGCCTTTGTTAAAGTGAGAAGTTTTTTAACACATTTGAATCGGGAATTAATGATTTTTTGGTCAGCGGTTTACTTAAACTCGTTCATTGATAATCAACTGAAATTTTATTATTCACTCTTGGAGTATTAGTTCAATCATTTTAGTCACTTTGTTTTTTAATGTAATTTTGTAATAATGTTTTTGTACGAAATGTTTAATGCTACGGTTGTTTGATACGTTTTCTTCGGATCGTTTGATTTTTTCAGTTTCTTCAAAATCTGTCGAAGATTCAATCTAATTTTTTGACCATGTTTGCTATCGTTAGTTCATTTCTCTATTTTTATGTTTCAAGATGATGATATTGGAAGAGCTGTTTGAAAGCTTTTCCTTAGATCTGATGATTTTTTCTCGTACTCTGATGAAAGCACAATACTTTTTTGCTTCACCGTTGTTGTTGAGTTTAATTGATGACGATGTTCAGATAAAGTTTTCTTTTGTCCAGATAGTGGTACTGTAAATGCTGATCAAGTTTGCCTTTGTTAATGTAAAGTTTTCAAGACATCTGAATCGGGAATGGTTGACGATTTGATCAGCGGTGTATTCTATATAGTTCATTGACAACCAACTGAAAGTTTGTTATTCTCTGATTGAGTCTCATTTTAATCATTTTTAGTCACTGTAGTATTTTTTGTATTTTTTTCGTTTCAATGTTTTTGTACGATTCTCTTTACTGCCACGGTTTTTTTACGACTTTCTTTTGATTTTTTCAGGTCCTTCAAAATCTGTCGAAGATTTAATCTACTTTTTTGGCCATGTTTGCTATCGTTTGTTATTTTCTCTAGTTTTTTGTTTCAAGATGATGATAGTGGAAGAGCCGTTGGAAAGCTTCTCTTTAGATCTGTTGATACTTTTTCGTACTCTGATCAAAGTTTATTAATTTTTTGCTTCACCGTTATTGTTGAGTTTAATTGATGACAATGTTCGGATAAAGTTCCCTTGTCCAAATAGTGGTACTATAAATGCTGATCAAGGTTCCCCTTGTTATTGTAGAAAGTTTTTAAACACATTTGAATTGGGAATTGTTAACGATTTGGTCAGCGGTGGACTTAAATTCGTTCATTGATAATCAACTGAAATTTTGTCATTCTCTGATTGAGTATTAGTTCAATCATTTCAGTCACTTTGTTTTTTTAACGTATTAGTTTAGTAATAATGTTTTTGTACGAAATGTTTAATGCTACGGTTGTTTTTATTACTTTTTTCTTTGGATTTTGTGATTTTTCAGGTCTTTCAAAAGCTGTCAAAGATTTAATCTAATTTGTTGACAATGTTTGCTATCGTTTGTTTATTTCTCTAGTTTCATGTTTCGAGATGATGATATTGGAAGAGCCGTTTGAAAGCTTCTCTTTAGATCTGTTGATACTTTCTCACACTCTGATGAAAGCGTGGTACTTTTTTTGCTTCATCATTATCGTTGAGTTTAATTGATGAGGATGTTGAGATAAAGTTTCTTTTTTATCCAGATAGTGGGACCAGGGTGACCACTTGGTCTGTAATTACTGACCGGTCTGTAAAGTCTGTAAAAAGTCTGTTTTTTTTTTACATTGGTCTGTATTTTATTGCTGGGCAAAGTTTTCATTGACGTTCTGCTTTAATCAGGGTTCCTACCAATGTTAAATATGTTTCAGATATGCCATGTGTCTTCTCTCAGCAGATGCGAGAAAAATACCGATGGGCTGCGGCTCGTTATCGTTGGGTTTAATTGAAAACGATGTTCAGATAAAGTTTCTTTTTGTCCAGATAGTGGTACTGTAAATGCTGATCAAGCTTGCCTTTGTTATTGTCAGAAGTTTTTTTAACACATCTGAATCGGGAATGATGTTATATCAAACTGTGAAATTAGCAGCAATATCAACAGTACTGTTTTTTCGGTTTATCTAAGGTGATTCTTGGCTGTTTACGTCTGTATCTTTTCTGTTTTTAAGGGTAAATGACCCTCGTGATGATAGATTGTGATGATTTTTCGCCATGGAAAAAAATGTGTTCGGACAAGTTTGATTTTTTGCGGTTCGACTTTTGATTTCTTGTAAGTTTAATTTATTTCCTTCAGGTTAAAAGGAAGGCACATTCCACTATCGAACAGCAAAAGTGTAAAAACGTGATCGCCTTAAAGTTTCATGTTTTCTAGCGGAATAAAAATTTAACCTCTCGATCTAATTTTTTCAAATTGGTTTTTTGTTTTTGACACTTGTGAGCAGCTTAGTGTGTTATTACGAACCTTCTTTTTGTTCTAACCTGACTCGCAAATAAAAGTGTTCATTAAAAGTGTTCACTTTTTGGAAATTTTTTTGCAGCATTGGAAATTGCATAGCGTCTGTTCTCTACTTTATTTGTGACTGAGTGGTAAATGGTACTTCATTAAGCTTCCGTGGCTGAGTGATTAGTGTCTGAGACTCTGATTCTCTTGGTCACATGCTCATATCTCAGAGGAAGACGAATTTTAGCTAATTCGAGGCTTATTTATAATTTTTATTTTGCCCTTTATAGCTGCTTTTTTTGTCGTGTTCTCACTAGTGTTTCAAAAAAAAGTTTCAATCATTAATTGTTCTTGAAATTCAAAGAGCTTGAAGGCTATCTTTATTTTTTTTTGAAATTCGAAAATTGAGATTTTTTCAAAAAAATATATGTCGTTTTTTTGTTTCCTTGCCTCTATTGACTCTTTTCCAACTGTCCGTTGTCTATGTTTTAGTTAACTCAATTAAATCATGTATTGTTGTTTTAGGTACACTCGAGCGAATTTTGAGGTGCTTGAGCGAAGCTGTCCTTGTGTATGGCGAAGAAGTAATTGATTCGCAGATTTTCGCTTTTGTCTTCAAACAGCTAGACGGCATAACATCGCAGGTATCGGAGAGGTCCGTTGCCAGTATTCTTGCAGCACTTCATATCATGAAGTTGTCCGTGTCGCTAATGACGGATCCATTTTTGGTGAAAAATCTGCACAAATTGAACATGGTTTTAGTGAAAGTAGCCAACATTTTTCTCTCGCCGACTTCAAACTTGGCAGACAATCCGGACTCTAGGTATGTCATGGCATCAGTTTGGATCAAGATTCTAACTGAAATCTGTGGGCGAATTGGACGAGACATGATTCTGAGCAGTTTTATGAAAACTGTCCTGTCTTTCTTTACAAATTTGGAAGATTTCCTGACCCGATCAGCAATGCCGAGACAGCCATTGAGTTACGAGTTTTCGCCGTTTAAGAAGGGTGCTTCAAGTGGGGAGTCGGCGGACTTCTACACAGACGTCGCTATACAGCAGGATTCCATCATGTTCGGAACTCCAAAGAACTATTCTAACTTGATGAGATCAAGTGTAAGTCGGGAAAATATTTTAAAAATCTATAGAATAATTACTGTTCGCATGTATAATTTAGTTAAAAGTTGTTTATATCTACAAAATATGCGGAAATCAAAGAACAATTTCTTGAAAATATAGCCGAAAAGAAAAAGAAACGTCATTCGACAAAGAAACGAGTTATACGCCAAACGAGGAATTCGTGTTTTATAGATATCAGCTCGATTTTTTTGTGGGTTGTTTAATATTTGGGCATCATTTGACGCACTTTGAATATGCTTTAGAAATATGACAATAACTTAGTTTACATCAGCGCTAAATGGATGCGTGGTCCATGATAGCCAATGACCTAACTTTGTTTTTTTTTAAAATCTGAGACTATGTTTTCGGGTTCAGGGCGAAGACTACTACTTGACCCCTGAACTGTACACCTACTCAGAAATGACACCCGAGAAGGAGGAGGAGTTTTCGGCCTGCTTCGACCTCAAACTCATTATGAGCATATACGCACCTCTCTGTAAACTACTCGGCAATGTCTACATGGAGAAGCGGATGAACCAGTTTCCAAGTGTGAAATCATTAGTTGATCAGCAGGTGTGAAATGTTATCAGTGAAGTCATGAGCTCTTACTTTTCCCCACCCCGCTACAAACGCGTCAATTTTGAAGCGTAACGAGGGTTTTTACAAGGTTAAATATCAAATATGTTTGTCGTTTTCTAATTATTCTGCTTGCCAATTTCTATAACAATCGAACAAGTTCAACAAAAATTTTACTGGTTTCGTAGGAAGAAAAACCAAATCATATATTTTTTGCCTAAGTTAGTTTAAAACTTAACGAAAATAGAAATATCCTTAATTTTCACAGTATTTCGATTGTGTAAATCAAAAGATATCAGTAGTTCGGTAGCCACTTGAAATCCAAGCCAATAACTCGAAAAATCAGCATTAATTGAACACTCTTTAATTGAGGTTTATCCGTAAATTTTTTCGGAGATGCTTAAAAAAATAATTTAACTGGGTCTTCTTTTTTGTCACTTAGTGTCTTCTTTTTTGTCGCTATACTTGTGTTATTGTATGAACTTTCTTTTTTCCAACCTAAGTCGCAAATATTGTTGCGATGCAATTTTTGCGACAAAATGTTCATTTTGAAAGTGTTCGTTTTGATCCAGCTATTAAGTACAGCCAATGCTAAGGATATTAACACAGATTATTATATTACAAATAGCACTTTAGCTTCAAGAAATCATGGATCTGTAGCGTAGAGGTAGAGAAGGAGACCAGCAACAAAATAAGAGGGTTCGTACCTGGGCAGGGTCGGATGTTTTAAATGAACTTTTTCGTATACTAGTTAAATTGCGTCCGCTCTATAAATTGAGGCATGTTAGTTGGTAGATTTTTTTTCAAATTGACTGGTACTGCTAATGCGTCATAATTGGCTTGCGTCATTTAGCAACTATGTAGACTCATAATTGGCGTGCATCTTTGAAGAAATTTTGTAGACTCGAAATTTTACTCATTTAGAGTTTACCAGTAGCGTTATCGGTCATATTTTTGCTTGCGTATGCAAAATGCAACTTCGCCTCAGTGTTCAGATATCGTAAGATATTGCGGAATCTGAAGGTTATTGCAATCGAGTACTAGACTTTTTTTAATAGTAATGAACGTAGTGAAGATTCTTATAAAGTTAATGCTGATTTTTTTTGGTTTTTTTTTCAGGAAGAGTCTTAAATGTAGCTAATAACTACAGATGTGCATTCATACATATTGATGCATTTATGAATGCACTTAGGTATATCTGCACTTTTTGAGTTCAATTGAAGTTCATCTGCTGTAATTGACGTAAATAGCACTCTCCAAATACAAACGTGGAAAGGGCGCGAAAAATTGTGAACGATTTTTAGTTTCGAAAGTGGAATTCAATTTATTGATTTTCAGCGTAAAAAACTTTACCTATTGATCCAGTTTTCTCTAGTTGGATTCATGTTATCAAAAAAGCGCCAATCATAAATTGTTCTAGGTTTTCAAAGAGCTTAAATGGCATCTATTTTTTTCTTTAAAATTCAAAAGTTGAGATTTTTTCAAGAAAGTCAGTGTTGTTTGTTTACTTGCGTTCATTACTTTTTTCCAATCTTCGATTGGCTGTTTGTTTTTTTTTTTCAAATTAAGTTTTGGCTTTTAACTTGAATATAATCAATGTGAACTGTTCAGTGTCCACTGATGAGTAATGGCCTGGTAAGTGTATAGTTAGCATATATTGTTTGAGAGCAAATTAAGAATTCTTGTAAATTTTTTGATGGCAAATTTTTTCGGTTGGTTTCCGGCGTTGGAGATTGTTCGGCATTAATTCTCTGCTTTTTTTCCCCATGTTTTTTCTTTTAAATTGATGATATTATATGTTTTTGATTGAACCAGAACCAGAAATTTTTAAAAGTTTAAGCAAACCTCTGACCCTCGTCAATTAAATTTTAAAAAAAATAATAATACCTGAAGAAGTTTTTCGCCTAGTTTTTGTATAATTTTTGCGTTTTTGCTCAATGCCTAATTGTTTTTTTTTATTGTTGCTCTCTTGCTTAATGTGTTTGGGAAGGTAGCAGTTTTGTTCGACTTGACTGAGATTAAGCAAGTATAAAGTGCTATTTAATCCAAAAATATTAGTTCAATAGTTTCATTAGTTTTTATTTTATTTGTTCAACCTTTCTGGTAGAATTTTTCGTTGTGAAAGGCCCTCTTGACTTAATCTGCGCTGTTTATACCAAATAAGTTGTTTTGTTTCTAGGATTTTGCATGTCCTAAAAATTGTAAAACATTATAGCAGCATTATTTTTGATCTTTTACTTATTCGATCTTTTTTCGGGCAAATTTTTCAACCAAACGTTTCTAGATTTTGATAATTTAAAAATTTTTTCTTCTATTTTCTATTTGTTTTTTCAAATTAAATTTCGCCTTTTAACTTTTTGAAGTTGAATTTGTAAGCTAATTTTTTCGCACTGAAAAATGTGAAGCAATATGGAAATATTTCGCACAAAATATTGGTTATAGGATTTTTTCATTGTGCGATTTACAAAAGGTTTCATCGCTTGTCTTAGGAGCAATTTAATACAGTACAGCCAATTTATTTGGTGCTGAACTAAAATTTTTGCTTATTGATTTTTAGTTTATTTTCTTGTTGATGAATTAAAAAACCCAATTTTCAAGTTTTTTTTTCATTTTTAAAGAAACAGATTTTTGAAATTATTATTATTTTTTTATTTTTAATTTTCCGCATCGCAAATGGTGCGAAGCTTGGCTTTGCCTCTGTTCTGATGCAAGATTTCGCGCATTCGATTGTTAGATTTTTTTGCAGTTTGCAAGATATGGCTGTTTGTTGAACATCCGCCCCAAAATGACTTTTTTTTGGCGCAGGTGGACATCTCGAGCGGCAGTAGTAGCTGCAGTGAACCGGAAACAGAAGAAGACGACGAAGAAGTTCGCAGAACGGAGGATGCGAAAGATAGAGGAGGCGAAAGGCCTCCTTTGAGGAATCATTATCAGAGTGCCTCGAACTTCACAAGTAGCTTGACTCAGTTTGAAGTGTCACGTTAGTACACGTCTTCTTGTTAAGAACATCCCGCTTGTTAAGTCTTAATGAACAAACGATCTCGGTCGTTATGATTTTTTTGATTTTTGGGGGAGACAATTTTTTTGAAGTTTGATTACACTCAAATTTGATTTTTTAGCCGTGTGACTTTTGTTTTCTTTTTATTCAAGTCTTCGTCAATTTTTTTACCGAAAGAAAGACATATTGCGCTCTTTAATAGCAAAAGAACAAATGGCACGGAAAAACGTGAGTCAATTTAAATTTCAAAATAGGATTCATATTCTGAAGTTTCAAAAAATTGTCGGATTTATATTTTTAAGATTTACTTTTTTAAGAGTCGGTGAACGTAGTTCAGATTCTTATATAGGTCGCGATGGTTTTCCCCTATTTTTGCCCGAATTTAATTTCGCGGTTACGCGTTTGATTTTTTTATGCTCAGTGCATTTCCTTTGTTGACACTAGCGTGCGAGCATTTGTGTATTAGTACGAACCTTCTTTTTCCTAACCTAACTTGCAAATAAAAGTGTTCAATGAAAGTGTTCAATTATATGGAAATTTTACTGTAGCATTGGAAATTGCATAGCATCTGTTCTCTGCTTTATTTGTGACTAGTGCTTGTTGTTAATTAAGCGTCCCTGGCTGAGTGTTTAATGCGTGAGACTCATAATCTGTAGATCGTAGGTTCGAATACGAGACGTTGATGAATTTTTACTAATTCGAGGCTTGTTTCTACTTTTTCCTTTTGCACTTTATAGAGCTGCTTTTTGTCGTGTTCTCGCTAGCGTTTGCAAATCGCAGCTTCTCCTCTGTGTAAAATGACAGCAAGCTCCACAATCGAAGGTGATCAACTTCTAGTTTCGAAAGTGGAATTTATTTCAGATTTTCCAGCTGAATAAAAATTTTCTCGAATCTAGTTTTCTCAAATTGGGTTAATTTTATCACAGAAATGATAATCTCAAATTGTTCTAGAAATGTAAACAGCTCCAAGGACATCTTTTTTCTTTGAAATTCGACAGTTGGGATGTTTCCAAAAAAAGTCAGTTGACTCATTTGAAGGAAGACTGGTGAAAAAAGAATTTGGATAAAATTGAGAAATTTTCCTTACTAAAACCAAAAATTACAAAATTAAGTGGAAAAAACACGTCGTTCCTTGACTCTTTTCCAACTGTCTGTTGGATATGTTTTAATTTCAAGTGTTTATAATTGACCTATTTATTCCACTTAGTTTTGTAGTTTTTGGTTTTAAAAAGGAAAATTTCTCAAGTTTATCCAGTTTCTATTTTCACCAGTCAGTAACGAATACACACTACGAGAGCTTGTGTTTATCTTTCTCTATTTGTTTTTCGTTGCAGTGATACTTATCTTACTTGCTGCTGAGTGTTTCAGTTGCTGTGGCACACTTGTATGGCTTGGTTTTGACATTTTCAGAAAAAAATAATAAAAATGAAAAAAGTAATAATTAGTCGATTGTTAACTCTTCCTGCCATCAAGGTGTGAATGATCTTTTCTTTTGCTTGATTATGTATTTTTTTGTCTGCTGTCGTAGGAACTATCCTATAAAAGCTTTTTTTTTTGAACTTGCTTTTTCCATTTTTAAGAATGGTGCTGCAGTCCGAACATTTTGTGCTTCATGCACTTTGTGACTTGTGTTATTTTTGGATTTAAGTATTTCTACTTGTTTCTTCAGCTGCTTTTTGTTTTCAGCGGAGAGGACCAATGAGTTGACCCGATCTGGCTCGTGGATAGCTAACAGAGAACAAACAGATATGTGTAAGTTTTCCCAGTCATCGTCTTAATGATCTCAGGCATATTTCATCTTACGTAATTTTGTTTTCAAATTTTGAAGGTTAATTGCGTTGGTCTCGTAGTAACTTCGTAACGAAACTGATTTCGATGCTATTTTTTTGAATGCTAAGAAACTAGTGGTTTATGATTATGTAGTGTTTAAGCAAGAAGTAAGTGCCCACATAGCCACATACTCGGATAGCCGAAAAAGTTGTGCTCACAGATGGATGAAAATGTAGTTCATATCTGAAACAAAATACCGCAACCCTGAATCATGCGCAGTATACTTCTCGTGCCGAATGTAAACCACGCAGCTGAGCAGGCGTTCGTTTCTGGCTTAAGCTTTCTCAATTTGACATTTTGCTCATGTTATGCTAAGTTTTCGTCAATTTGGAAACAAATATTTTTCGGCAATCCAAGTGTTGGGCTATGTGGAATATGATCCGCTGGAGAGAATAGTTTTTGGTGATATTGTGAGTGATTCAGACGCAGAGTGGCGGCAAGGAGGTAGAGTGAGATCATCTGCATTCATAATTGAACCGACTCGCAGTGCTGCTGCCAATCAAACGTCCAGATCAGCACTCTTCAGAGACACACTCTATTCCAGATCCGACCGCATTCTGGATAGTGACTGGCGAATTTACTGGAACAAGACAATACGAGAGAAAGAAAGTGATCCCTTTAGGTACGCATTGCATTTTTTTAAAATAGTTATTTGTTTCGATCGTCACCTTTCGCAAAGAATGAAATTTGGTTTTCAAAAAAGCAAATTAATATGTAAATTGATTTTAAAAATTGAAGAAAGCCACATAGCGTCCAGAATAGAAGGTGGAAACTCTCAATTCATTGATTGGAAAATGACGGATTGCAAGGGAAATGGTTTTTTGACATATTTTCTCAGATTTTGCTTCGATGCCATTATTTGCTTTTAAAAGAGCGAAATCAGTGTATGGACGTACAATGAAAAAAATTGTATTACTTATAATCATATAATCAGACTATCGTATAACGTATAATCGTATATCATGGTTTTTGTATTTAAAACGTATAGTCGTATAAGTGCTCAATAATAGCAACAGCTCAGGGCGTTTTAGATTGATTTTGATGCTCGATTATATTTTTTGCCCGAGAATCTCTGATTGCTCTCAGAAAAGTTTTTATGTTGGAAATGGGCCACCCCATATATCTGGGTTTTTTCGTATATTGTGTACTAAACACTGATCGAAATGTTTGCATACAGCTTCTCTTATCGTGGATCTTATTATGCTTGGGATTCGTAATTGGCCTGAAAAACGTACAAAAACTTGTTATATTTATGCATTACATATTTTGTAGATAGGTAATCGAGGAAGGGTAAGATTGATTTTAGAATGATGTCGGTGAAATTGGACAGCTTCGAAGGCCATCAGGGTGCAGTGCGGGGTCTCATTCCTGTGGGTAACTTCGAGTCAACCTTCTTGTCTCACGGTAAAGACCAAACAGTGCGGGTTTGGTCCATTGCGAACCAGAAGTTGGGTGTGAATGGAGAGTCGAAGCCGATAACTGCAAGCTTCACATATCACCTACACAAGAAGAGCTTGAACGGGGTATTCTACTCGACTTACCTGCAGAAAGTAGTTAGCTGTGATGGAAGTATTCACGTGAGTTAGCAAATTTACTATCCTTGTTAAGAGTAATGAACGTAGTGATTACTTTATATAGGTCTTGCTGACGTTTTTTAGTTTTTTTTATTCAGGAAAAGTCTCTAATAACTACAGATATGCATTCATACATATTGATGCTTTTATGATGCACTTAAGAAGAAGAAGAATGACAAAATAAGACATTATGTACCAAGGGGCCAACTACTAGAGTACCTCCGCAGTTATGAATTACCTATTCTTCAGCATGGCCTTTTTATCCACAGGAGGTGTAGTTTTTTGTTTTTAACCCAATTTTTGTAATGCGAAAGAAAATTTTGAAATTCGTAATAAAATCTTGAAACAAAATGCCTGCGAGTCTATTTTAAACAAAGTGCGTAGTTTCCGAAATCCTCAAAAACTGACAAGGCGATCTTGTGTGAGATTACTTGCAGAAATTTTTTGGAACTAAAAGTTGAAAAAGTTCTCGATACGGTATAGAAGATGCAAATTGTTAGTTCTTTTCATGAAATATCAAGGTTTTACAAGAAATTCAAAGATTCTTGTTTAATTCAAAGTTTTGCATTGGTTCATGATATTTACTAATTGTAAAAGTTTAGACTTATTGGTTAAATACGGCCGGGAAACCAATCGGGGGCTCAGGATTTTGGAGAAAAAATATGGCCTTCCAGATTTTTCTAGTTTTCGAGATAGCGCTATTTTTTTTGAAATTTTCGATTAGACTTTTGGGCAAACCAAACGCTGAAGCATGGAAACTGTGCACGTAGCTAGTGGAGTCTTTTAGATACTGTTATAATTACTCCGAAACTTTAAAAGTTCACTTTATGCAAGTTTTCGAAAATGAAAAATTTTAAATGCGTTTGTTCAGTAAACAGGTATTTTTTTTCTCTTTTGTACTTACCCAATTGACAACGAGGCCGAACTAGCGTGCTTATTTGAGCATTTTGGGGGCCCCAAAATGTTTTCACTCATGGATGTTTTATGATTTTACTAACCCAGACCCAACAGGTGATTTCAGTTCAGTTTGACTATTCGACTAATCAAAAGATCCAAAAGTAAAATATATGTGTATCTGTTAAGAATCAATTAAATGAAACTGTTAAAAGTTGTGAAACAATCTTTTTCGAATTTTGGCAAAATGTGCGCAGATAGTTTGTGTGCGACTGTGGTAGCTTAGTAAAGCCTCTAAAGCGACTGTGGTAGCTTAGTAAAGCCTCTAAAGCGACTGTGGAAGCCTCTAAGTAAACAAAATTGCTATTCATAGGAAAGGGGTGACAGAAACTTAGACGAAAAGCAAGTTCGGCGGCTCCAAGAAAACGGAAAATAGGCGTTAATTTTTTTGCAAAGATAGAGTTTAAGACGAAAAGCTAAGTGCTAACACAATTTATTGCATAAAACAAAACTTTATAGATAAAAGAAGAGTATTTAATCCCACTGCGTATCAAAATATGTATTATAAATGATTTAAAAAACACTAATCCGAATTTTATAAAAATATTTTTGAAGTGAGTGAGTTGTACAATTGCCCCTTGTGAAAAATTGACTTACTTTTAAGCAAGCTCGAGCAGAAATTATTTGTAGTCAGCGAACAATTTTCAGACACGAACAATTAAATTACGTCTAATTACCCATAATTCTAGTTATAATTTTTTTCTGGTCACGTCTAGTTTGCTTGTCTAATATCCTTATGCCGAAGAAAGGAATTGATAAATGAATGAGGGGACTTGAATTATGAAGACAGAAAGTAATTTTGTCTTGTCTAATATGTTGGAGAGGTTAACTTTTTTCTACAAAAGTTTTTAGATGAAAAACAAAGGGCTTACAAATTTATCAACTGAAAACTCGTTATTGTATTTTTGCATCGATTCGTCTTGTAGTGACGTGTCATTTGTTTGTCTCTCATTTCTTAGCCCGGCCCCAAATTTAATTTCAAACATTGAGAATTTATTTCTCACCCAGTATCAAAAACTTTGTCCAAAGGTGCTCTCGTAGGCAGTATATTTGTTGGCATGGTTTGTAACTTATTAACTACCCACAATAGATTTGCCCGGAAACAGTATTATTAATATTAGTCCGGCCATTTGAAAAATGGGTAGGAACGTTGTTTTCTTGTATGTTTTGGTTTTTTCTTATTTTCTTTTTTTTGTTTTTTACAAGAATTTTTGGAAGGGTTTTCAATAAATTAAAAAGATGCCTTTTCAACTCTGATTCGAACGACATTAAAAAATTTACAAATTTTTTTTTTCTCACTATCGAGAAAAACTGGTTAATTTTTTTTTATTTTGATTTCAATTTCGAGCGAATTAAGCGAGAGAGTAGGCTTACAGCAGCTTATTTATGCTTGATTTAAGCCTTGAAAACTTAGTTTTACGTCAGTAAAATTGGTTTAGGAGTTCTTGTGCCATTTTGGGAAGAAAAAAAATCAGTTCGAAGAAAAAAAATGATTTGATTTTTTTTGTTTTCCTACTCATTTTTGTACGAAAACTATTGTCCAATTTGTCTATATTGCTATCAAATATATCTAAATTATCTTTATGTCAGATACTTTTATCACACCATGCAGAAACTACACTAATTTGAAAAAAAAAGTAGTTTTTTCAAGACTGGTCGGAACATTCTGCTACTTGCACAGTAACCGGCCGTCCTTGTATTTTTATAAGTGATGCCATTTTTACTCTAGCGAGTAGCTAGTGTTTTAGTTCGAACTTTCTTTTTTTCGAAGCTAACTGGCAAGTTCAAGTGTTCACTTCTGTGCTTTTTTGCTATAATCACGATCTGTAGCATTGAAAATTTCATAGCATCTGTTCTTGGCTTTATTTGTGACTAGTGTTTGCGATAGACTAAGCATCCGTGGCTGAGTGGTTAGTGCGTGGGACTCATAATTTCTAGATCGCAGTAGGTCGTAGTTTCTTAAAACTCTAGAACTCTAGTGCTCCTTTTTGCCGTGTTCTGGCTAGCGTTTCCGAAGCGTAGCTTCGCCTCTGTGTAACTACATAACCACACTGATCAATAAAATTCAAACTGTCGCACCCGATATGCCCATTTAAGTTTCGCACTAAACTGAACATAATTGTTTCTAAAAATGTGTAGTTGTTTAGATTTGGGATGCGACGACAGGCACCCAGTCTCGTTTTATCGACTTATCTCACGCCTCGTCCAGTTCCAAGCACTCCCAGTCATCCTCTTCGGCTGTGGCTCTCTGTGAGGCTGGACCTCGTCTCTGCTTCGCCGCCAGACAGGACGCCTCTCTCGCCCTCCTTGACTTGAGGTTCTTTTGGGCTATTCATCATATTATACATAACATGCAATGGTGTGCACAGAATGTGTTTTTTTTACAGAGGTGGGAGTGTAAAAACTTGATCGGCCATTTATGACCTATCTCGAAGTTCTGATGTAATTACATTTTGATCGTTTTCTGAATGTTCAGATCAGCAATTTAGCCTTTTTAAGATCCACTTTGAGCTCTCGCTCAACTCATTACCAAGATAATTTCTAGTTATTGAATTTGTGTGGCAAAAAAATGAGTTGGAAAATTTATGAAAAAGAGTTTAAATCTGCTCAACACCTCTTGGCTCTTTGGAAGGATCCAGTGTTGTATTGTCTGAAAATTGAAAGCTTTAGCGAGAGTTGTATAATAGTACGAGTATTCTTTTTTTCCAACCTAAGACGCAAGTATTGGTGGTACTTTTTGTGCAAATGTTCGGATTTTTGAAAGCAGTTTTGACAATTGATTTAGTATTAAACAAGACAGTTGATACATTTGGATTATCAAATGAACCGAAAAGAGCTATGTGTTTCAAAAACCTGTGCAATAAAATACTCCCTTTCAGAAATTTTCCAACTCAATATATCTGGCAATTTCTTACTGAAATGCATAAATTGTACATGTGTTGGCTTCATGCTTTCCAATTTATTTTACGCAAAGTTAGTGTGGATGCTTTTGTTAGTCAAATTCCAAATTGCTACATTTGTGTTTTTTTTATATCTGATGCCAATTTTGCTGCATGGTATTGGCAATTCTTAATCATGTACCTGCCCTGCTTTATTGGTGGCTAGTTTTCAAGGGGCTATAGTGCAGATGCAAGGACGTGCTAGTCGAAATTGACCATAGCGCAGTGCGACCTGGTTGTTAGTTCGAATCCGCCGCAGTCAAATTTTTATTTTTCAAGGCTTATTTTTTTACCGTTTCTTTTCTTAGTTTATTTTTTACAGCTAGTTTTTGTCGTTGTTTACCTCGTTTGCGAAGCACTGCTTCGCCTCTGTGTTTAAGGTCCTTGTTTCAGAGTGCTAAGTTACTCCTCGCTTTTATTTTCTTTAACCAAGGAATTTTACAATAATTGCGTCGTTAGAATAATGAAATTTGACTAGTGGACTTATGACCATAGCATAATTGATGTTCATTAGTCATCTCGTAGGAATAGTGATCATCGAGCATAACTGCTGTTCTTTTCCAACTTTGTAGAAATAATGATGACAGCATAAGATCGTCAGATCATGTATTTGATGCCCTGCCGTGGCAATGATAGTGTGAGGGCACGAGCTCTCACTTGACTTCCAGCGCACAGCTAAACGCGAGGTCGATTCAGATTAGTCCAGTGTTAAAACTACGTTCAAGTATCCCACGCTAAGGCATGACCTTCTTATCCCGTCGGGCGCCAATAACCCTGGACCAGGGAAGAAACGAAACTACTATTAACCGAAATATACAAACCCAATGTCGTCAAGAGTCAAATAGGCTACAACAATAAGCTCTAGCTTCAGGTCTACCACAGCCTGACCGATTTCGGCTGCAATAGTGGTACCACGTGAATGGTCTAGACGCAAAAAACGGCCTTGAGTCGCAATAAGGAGCTGAACAAAATAGCGCAGCCTGGAATGCTTAGAGATAATTCAAATAGACTAGACTATCCTTCGACAGTCCTGTGAAGGTCCACTGATAGCTCCTCCGCAGGAACCACATTATTATTTTTATCGTAAAATTGAGGTATATGAGAGGCGAGGGATGGGGCTGGAAAAGGTTAATAATCGTACCAGTTTATTAAGAGTCGATGAACGTAGTGCAGAATTTTATATAGTTCGCGATGATTTTCCTATTTTTATTTTTTTTTAAAGAAAAGTCGTAAAATTTGTTTAAGCTCAAGTTTTTTTTGCGGTCCTTGTTATTCATATAAATATTTTTTTTCAAGTTCAGTTCTTTTCCTTTGTTAAGAGGAAGGCAAGCAAACTCCACTATCGAACAGCAAAAGTGTAAAAGTCACGAAAAACGTGATCGACTTTAATTTCGAAAGTGAAATTTAGTTCTCAGATTTTCCAGCGAAATAAAAAAATTACCAATTGATCCAGTTTTCTCAACTTGCGTTTGTTTTATCAAAAAAGTGCTAATTATATGGTGTTCTAAAAGTTAAAATAGGGTCAAGGGCATCTGTTTTTTTGAAATTCGAAAGTTGAGGGTTTTTCCAAAAAAGGTAAGTGTTTTTTTTTCTGTTTATTTGCATTCATTGACTCTTTTCCAACTGTTTGTTGGCTATGTTTATAAAATTGAGCTCTATGGGTGGCGAGGGATGCGGGAGAAAAAGGCCAATGTTCGTACTATCTTATCTGATATAGTTTTTACTTTTGATGTATTCAATTTAACATTATTCGTTTTCATCAATGGATGTTTCAGGTGCCCGACTGAGCAGTGTGCGGACTTCAAGATCCCAATTCTGCACTCGTTTGCCGTGAGGAGTGTCTGTGCCTCGAGTGAGGGCGTCTGGGGTGCCGCTGGACTGTCTAACGGTCAGGTGGTCGTGGTCGACTTCAGAAATGGAATGACCCCAGCCGCATGGAAAGCACACGACTCTGAAGTTACGAAGGTAAGTGTAAGGAAGAATCCAAGCAAAAATAAAAAACAAACCAGAGTTACCTTCTGCTCCTCAAGTAGCATGAATGTTCCGACCAATAAAGTGACCAAAAACGGAAGAAGTTATCAGTTTTTTCCATTTTCTGTGCTCAGTCTAGTTGGGTTAAAATTAGTTATTGGGAGCTAATATTTTAGTTAAGCAGCCACTGCAGAGCGTTGATAGCGCAGCTGGTGCTCACATACCGTACTCAGCTTTTTATTTTTTGAGGCTCATTTTCTTTTTACTCTTCATCCTGTATTTGGCTGTTTTATTGCTCATTTTTTTGATGAATATACAGATTTTATAGTGGCGCTTGATTGAAAGCTTCCAGAAAAGAAATTATGATTTGAACACTTATGGAAAAGGTCTAGTGGGTGAATGTAGTTCTTAATTCGGGTCATCTTCAAAATGGAGATCCAAAATGTGAAGTGCGATCGAATTTAGAAGTGTCGTGCATTATCTTTTGTATGATGTTTGCATGTACTCGTATTGCGTGTGATGTTTTTTTTAGCTGAAGAGTCTTCCGTTCTCACCTGGCGCCTTCCTCTTTTCCCAGTCGACTGCAGATGGAAAACTGTACCTGTGGAACTTCGAAAACAGCGACGAACAGAGCAAAATAGTCGCGTCCTTCAACAGTTAGTCATTTCACATTAGATAAATTCACTCTAGTCTACAGTTGCGTGAACAATATGTTGCTAGGGTGCTATGAAATGTCAATGAACTAAGTGATTACACTTATATAGGTCGTGTTGATTTTTTACCATGAAAAAGTCTTCAAATTGTTCACGCTCAAATTTGAATCTTCGTGGTTTGACTTTTGTTTTCCTTTCAATTCAAATTCATCGGCTAAAATGACTGCAAATAACGCTTCCCAATTAAGAAAGCGAAAACGGCGTGAACGACTTTAAGATTCGATAGTGGATTTTATTTTAGATAATCTATTGATCTATTAACAAATTATTTTATGATCCAGGTTTCTCAAATTGGTTTAATTTTGCCTTAAAAACGTCGGTTACATATTGTTTATAAAACATATAGTTTTAAGGCCATTTATACTTTTAGAGTCATGAGCGTAATGGAGACTCTTATATAGGTTTTGCTGATTTTTTTTTCAGGAAAAACCCTCTAAAATTGTTTACACTCAAATTTGAATCTTCGTGCTTATACTTTTATTGTCTTTTCTATTCAAATTCATCTGCTAAATTGAAGGCAAATTATTCTTTTCAATTAAGAAAGAAAAAATGGCACACAAAACGTAAACGACTTCTAGATTCGAATTAAATTTTTTGTTCTTCTTTTGATCTAATAAATTATTTATTGATTCAGGTTTCTCAAATTGGGTTAATTTGTCTCAATTACAAAGTTCTGTTAAATTTGAAAGATTTAGGGACATATATATATACCGCGAAAAATCACCAAAACCTATAAATTAGTATAAACTATGTTCATGACACTTAATATATATTTTAAATTGACCGATTTTGCTGCTTGATTCTTTCAAATTTTTGAATACTGAATTATGATCAGGGGCGGATTTAGGAAGAGGGCGGACGCCCCCTCCAACAGGGATTCGACTCCCTGCCGACCCAAAGGGCCCAACCTTTGAACCATTTTGAGATATTCATTTTTGGTGGCGAACCCTTTGGTGCCAATATATACTAATTTGAGGGGGCAGTACGCCGAAAAAATGCAATTTTTGGCCAAAATTTTCCAAAAAGTGCCTAAAAACACCTTTTTGGCGTTTTTTTCTTCAAACTTTTGTCTCTGTCGCAGAAAATTTGGCCAAAACAGAGTTTTTATAGGGCTTAGGGCTCGGAAAATCAATACGGTCGACCTAAAAAAAAAAGGTCGACAAAATTTTTGAAATTTTTCTTTCAAAATCTTCCTCCCCATCGAGGATATCCTAGAGCCACCCCTGATTATGATTTACTAACATAGTTTTCGTGAATTCAGTCCTTCTGGCGCTAGGGACTTCCCAAAGTTGCTTTTTAAAATGCTAAAAAGCTTTGTACCATATAGTTATCGCTCTTTGGTGATTTTTATCAATTCAAAATCACCAAAGTGATTTTGAATTGTTTCAATTGCAAGATGTTAGTTGATGTTTCAATTGCAAGATGTTAGTTGATGGCAGTTGAATGATATGGTGTTTCAGAACACAACGACTCCCCCATGACTCAGTTTGAGCTGTTCAGCAACTCACAGCTAGTTGGATGCACTGGCGCCAACAAGTTCATATCTTACGAAAAAGCCTTCACGTCTCATTCTAGTGTAAGAGTTTTAATTTTAAAAAAAAACCGTCTCAAGGCGCTTACATGCAGCAGTTATTCAGCTGTAAAATGAAAACGTTTTGCTTATGATGTGAGAAATAATTGAAAAAGCTGTTTGCTTTTTTGACTAACTGATTTTGAGTTCTTTTATTATCTTTTCAACGCTTTTGGCCGAAATCATTCTAGTCAAAACTATATCAGATTGAAAAATACATTCCGAATCATCATAATCGCACACATAATTTTCGTCCCATTAGTTATTTGGATCGAAAAATGAGTCATCTGTATGTGCCAACGTCACTTGGTTTAATTAGTCGAATCGTTTCTTATTTTCTACAAAATATGAATCAATCAATCTTTCTGCATGGGGCTCCTCGATAGAAATGGTTCCCAGCAATCTTATGAAATAATCTCATATTTAATTGTATGTCGTTTTCAATTGGTATGGGCGCCATTTTTAATAGCTCACCACTCGTAACGTTTAAGGAATTGATTGGGATTAATACGTTTCAATTTCAAGATAAAGCGAGCTTGGGAAGGTCAATTGTCTAGACAGATTGTGTTACAATTTTGACCGCAATTCAGTTCAAGACAATGAGGGGCAGGCAGTGCAAGGCAAGGCAAGGAGAGGCAGGGCAGCGTTAGGCAAGGCAAGGAGGGGCAGGGCAGCGTAAGGCAGGGCAGCGCAAGGCAAGGCAGCTGAAGGCAAGGAGGGACAGGGCAGCGTAAGGCAGGGCAGGGATGACAGAACAAGGTAGGGCAGCGCATCGCGAGGGGCAAGTTAGCTTAAGGCAGGGCAGCGCAAGGTAGGGGAGGGGCAAGGCAGCGTAATGAAGGACAGCGCCAGGCAAATTTGAGCATGGCAGAGCAGCGCAAACAAAGTACTGCAGGGCAAGGTAGGGAAGCGGAAGAAGGGACAAGGTACGAAGAATCAGGGCAGCGCAAAGCACGGCAGAGCAGCACAAGACAAAGCAGGACAGTTGAAGACATGGTAGCCCGAGGCAAGGCAGCGAAGCGCAAGGCAGAGGAAGAAGGGTCAAGGCAGGGTAAGTAGGAGCATGGCAGGGCAGCGCAAAGCAAGGCAGAACAGCGCAAAACAAGGTAGGGCAGTGCAAGTCTAGGCTGGCTAACGCAACCTAGGGCAGCGCAACACGGCAGAACAAGGCAGCACAGGGCAAAGCAGGGCAAGGCAAGATAGCGGATTGCAGAGCAGCGCTACATAGGGCAATGCAGGGTAGCGTACGGCAGCGCAGCAAAAGATAGGGCAGCAAAGGATAAGGCAGGAGAGCAGTGAAGCGCAAAACAAGGCCAGGTTTTTCCCAAAACCGTTCGGGCCAGCAAATAACCTAAAGCTTGGTTCAGATATTTTTGAGTTCAAGCATGCCGATTTAAGCACTCAATTCAAATTCAATTTTGAAACTTAATCGTTTGAATAGCTGACTTCAGAAAAATATTTTTCCTTTTGCAAAGGAATTCATGTGATCAAAACACTTTCAGAAGTTTCAAATTTTGGTGTGATAGTTTCCTTTTAAACTATTGGTTTTTTGTAAGCACATTCAAGGTGTTTACTTAAGTTTTACCGCTTAATTAGCTGGCTTGAAAAATTCTCAATTTACGCGAACCTGTTCAAGCCATGCACTGTTGAATCATTTGCTTAATTAAATCGGAAATTTTTAAATGGGCTTGCTAGTGAATAATGAAAAGTTAATACTCAATCATCTGACATGATTAATAACCTTTAATAATTAACCTGCGTGTTAGGCCTGCGACTGCTTAACTTTAAAAAAAAATAAAAGAATTATGTTGACCTTATTTTTTTTAGTCCGATGTGAGAATAGAGAAGTTGCCGATGGATTTGTTCCAACTGTCGGCTAACAGCACAATAACCGCACTGGCTGCTCTACCCATCAATAGGATGATGCTGCTGGGCACAGACTCCGGTGCTATTAGACTAATCGCTTAATTAAGCGAAGAAAATAATTATCATCATGTAGTTATTACTGCTAGCATAAAGTTTAAATTAAATTATTGTTGCCTAATCAAAATTATTGTTCCCTTATAACCAAATGTTTATTTTCATCATATAAATATAGTCAATATTTTTCCAACTTATTGATGTCAAGTAGAAAAGAAGACGTTCAGGTTCAAGAATGTTAAATGATATCCAAATGCTTCGGACGGGAACTATTTCTAACTTTTTGAAAATTTTTAATCAATTTTTCGTAGGCTAGCTAACTTTATGTTCAGTAAATTAATGAATAGCGAAAAAGTTCTTGTCTATGAGCTATTTTGACCCCGAATATAGACCAGGAAACAGTTAAATTAGCAATAAGCATCAATGCATCAGGCTGCAAGCAATAATTTAGACTCGTCTTTTACTTGCTGATTAAAATAATTGAAGTGAGAAAATAGACGAATTTGATTTTTTCCTATTATTAATTGCACCAGTTGAAATACTTAGTTATAACACGACTACACTTGCTTACAACTAAATCCGGCAAGTTCATCACTCAAAATGTGGAAAGTTTCTGCGTCATTAGAACATCATGAGTTATATACGCTCAATTAAAACTTATTCATTGAGCGAAGAAGATTGGGTGATTTAGGCCGTCTTCTGTAGTGGAGGTTTTTGTACTGACCCTAGGGTCGAAACCCGCAGTCCTTGCAAGTTTCTGTATCAGGCGTTTTTTTGTATTTTACTTGAGCGAGCTAGCGAGCGTAATGTTATATTTCGAAGTTCACTTTTTTCCCACTCAACTCGCAAATGAAAGAGCTCATTTTGGTGGTACTTTTGTTGCTGAGTATTGGCAGTTTAATGCAAAGGTGATTTAAATTAACCGGTCAAAATGAACAACATTGAAAACTTCAACGCTTTTCTCTCAAATTGGGTTAAGATAAGACAAAAAGTGAACAGAACAAAATTTGCTTAGAATTTTATCAGAAATAAAATGGTGCAATTTTTTTAAAACCAAAAATGGGTCATTTTGGCTTTTTTAAATTAAGAATTATGCTGAAACTAGCAAATTCTAGGTTAAACTTTCCAAACTTTGCGTTAAACTTTTGAAAATTGTTTTTACGCGAATTTTTTTTATTTTTATGGAATACAATTGATATTTTTTACCAAACAAAAATATATTCCCTTTCACAGATTTTTGGAAATTTTATCTTGCTAGAACTTTGTTTTTATGTGTAAGAGGCTTCTTTTGATGAAATTTTTCCATGAAATAAATTGGTAATTTCCGCGTAAATCTTGTTAACACCTGCGAACTTGAGGTAGTGTTTGAGTACGACCTGTGCTAATACGAGTGTTATAGTAGCCTGTGCTTTGACATTCCATAAGTTATAATTTAACGTTCTTGATGCAGTTCTAATTGTTCAAATGAACCGAAAAGAGTTATTTCCTTCAAATATCAGTTCCCAATAAAAACTCGATTTCAGAAATTTTCCAACTCAATATATCTCGCAGTATTTTTTACGCTAGCGAGGCTCCAAATCTCGAGGTCGCTATTTCGAATCCGATACTTACCAAAGTTTTTCTAATTCAAGGCTTATTTCTAATTTTTCTTTTCAATTTAAAGCTGTTTTTTGTTGTAGTGTTCTCTCAAGTGTTTGCGAACTGCAGCTTCGCCAATGTGTGAATTCAAAAAAGCCAAAAATTGGAGTAAAATGTTTGGTCCGAATTTCGCTTAAAAAAATTACACCATATTATTTCTGGTGAAATTTTAAGCAACTCATTTTGAAAAGAACTGGAAATTTAAAATTCGTTCGTATTGTCCGGATAATTTAACTCAGCACTCTGCCATATATTCTCCAATTTAGCAGTGTCTTGTGTTTGGTTTCTGCAAGCCTCAATGTTACAGTTTAGGATCAAAGTCGACTTGAGTATTTGAAGTTCGAAGACAGATTAGATTTCCGTAGAGATCATTTTTTACTATAACCCATTACTTTTATTTTTTACCTTTTTCTCTTTTGTGACTATTTTAAAAGTATTTCTTGTCGTTTTCGCTTTTATTTGCGAATTGCAGCTTCATCTCTGTTTTATGAATTGTAGGACCGCCTGTGTTCAGCTTTCTACTGCCAGAATTTCTGTAGAAGCTTGTCTTTTATATAGCCTTACAAAGTTTTTAAAAAAATTATAATCTTTTCTATCACGTATAAAAAAGTTTATTTTCGTTAGATTGCCAAAAAATGTCATTATACTATAAAATACCAATTTTTTAAAAACAATTTTTAAACGTTTAGCTCACTTTGATAAAGTTTTGCCTGCGATTGAACCCAGAGTTACAGTGTAATTTTTGAATAATTACGAAAGCCAAAAATTAGAGGCCCGAATTTCGCAAAATAAATTGCACCGTTTAATTTTGCTAAAATTTTAAGAAAGTTTTTTCTTCATCATTCTGGATCTTGTTGACTGCACCCCTCCTATTTTAATTTATAGAAATTTAGCTTTGAGTGCCACATATTGAGTTCTCCATTTCATTTCGAGCTTCGAACAATTTTCAGAGAATAAATTTAATTCAAATTGTTAATTTGTGAATCTTTAAAATATTGAGTTATTCAAATACGAACGCACGAAAATAAAATCCCAATCGTTTGTTGACATACAAAAATTGCTTAGTTTAAGTAGAAATGGTTGTCATTACCTTTGCGATAAGCAAGAATTTTGTCCAAAAATAATGCTTGTGTGGAATAGGGTTAGTAACAAGGTCCAAGTCAACCCAATTTGCGGACGTTTTAAGTTAAAAGTCAAGAACGTAGTGAATACTTTTATATAGGTCTTGGTTGTTTTTTTTTGTTGTTTTTTTCAGGAAAAAACTAACTTGTTTGCGGTTTGACTTTTGATTTTTGTGTAAAGGTCGCGAAAAACGTCAACGACTTCTAGTTTCGAAAGTGGAATTTAGTTTTCAGATTTCCGAGCGGAATAAAAAGCTTACCTAATGATCCAGTTTTTTAAAACTGGGTTCATTTTATCACAAAAGTCTTAATCATAAGTTGCTCTTAAAATTCTCAGAGCATGAAGGCCATATATTGTTTTCTTTGAAACGCGGAAGATGAGATTTTGTCAAAAGGTCACTCTGGGTGGGGGGATGGGGGTAGTAAGGTTGATGCCTGATTGTGTAGTCTTTTGAAAAAACTTTTTGATTCACGACTGAACCAAAAGGGCTCAAAGGTGGCCTGATTTTAACTATTACCACGCGATAGTTCTCGTTGTTTTTTTTTCTAAAATAGCTAAATTTCTTGAAAAAACGCAAAAATGAAGACCTTCACTTCTACAGTTGCTTAAGCTTGTGGTAAGTTTTCAATTTTTTTCATCGGATGGTTGAACGCAACACATTCTTTGCTATTGTTAATGATCATTTTTTTAAAAAGATTTGTTGGAGCTCACGAGTTTTATGGCGATCACGAAAAGTTATTGGTACTGAGATTATTATTGAGGTCGTTAACTCTTTAATTTTATCTTAAAACAGATTTTTGACAAATTTTTCAGTTTTCGAGAATAATGCTTTATTAATTAGGTTTTGTTATCTTCGATTGATTTTTATCTAGTGTTTGGCGATAAAAAATTTAAGTGAGGGCCGATTTGGGTGCTCAAAAAACACAATGGAGTTAATATCATTCAGGTTCACTTACCTATCAAACCATATAAGCTTCCGTTCCCATGTTTTTCTTGCAAAGTTGCGATTGGAGTCTTGCTCAAAGAGTCCGTTTTTTAATGGTTGATTGCACGAAAAAGTAAGCTTAAAATCAATTCGAACTTTCTTTCATTGTCCTCATTTTTATATTAAAAAAATTATTGTTAAGAAATTCGTTTAGAAGCCAAGTTTAAAGCCTCACTCGCCTTTTTGGAGATGATATTTTCAAATTTATAACTTTTATAGGTATCCGCATACCAGTATTTTAGTTTTATTGTTTTTGATATTTTTGAAACAAAAACTCTGATTTTTTTTTCGATTGAGGGTTGGTTGCAAATTTCAGTTAGTCTCTTTGAAGATAGGTTGGGCGCTTTATTGAGAGTGAACGTTCAAAGGGGAACTTGGGAGGGGGGGGTGTTTTTTTGGGTCTCCTGGGATTATTCAGAAAGCGTCTTCTACATTCGCTCAATTTGTTATATTTACAATCGGTTGCCCCTCGTAGTTCATTTTTTCTGTTTCGAAATTTAGTCTAACAAATTACAGTCAAGTTTTTTTTGATTTACCCATACAGTATGGTCTGAACTGATTATGACGTTCTTAATTGAATCATTGTCAGATGCAGTTGTTTCTTTTCTTCCGATTACAGTTGAGCGAAGCTCGCTGGAACATCAAGGTTAGTTAGCTTAACTTTGGTCCCATTTTTAAATCTTTTTTTTTGCATTCAATTGAACAAACTATTTATTGGGTTCAGTCGAAAAATCAAAAATTCTGGAATATGGGCAAATTAAACCTGGAATTCGGAAGATTTGACAAAAATCTGAAAACTGGAAAGCTTTTTCTGATTCGTTTAAGTAAAAGGTGACAATTCCGTTTCTATTCAAGTGTCTGGGAATTTGCGCATTTTGACATTATTATGTCTTATTTTTGTGAAATCCTCTTGAGTTATTCTGACTTCAAATGACCGTTTGACAGTACGAATTGTTTCAAATTATTTTTTGCTAATTGAACTTAAAATTTAATTGCTTCAGTGGTTTTTAAGGGTGTTCGTTCTGGTACTGAGGCTTCTTAGAGGGAAATCAATCCACATACAGGGAGCTGAGTTTGACTGCAATGAAAGATGGTCAAAAAATGTATTGTACTGAATCCTGGGTTTAATTACACATTTTTAATCCGATCTTCTGACCGTTTTTTTTAATTTGAGGATAGCTTGAATTTTATCTGCTTTTGCTTTTTGTCCATAAATGGCAGATTGAAATTCTAAAAAGACTTTTATCTTCAAAGAGCTTTTTACAGATTAAGTAATTGGACAAACTCAAGTAGCAACATTTTTAAAGTGGTGAAGATCTCGGAAAATAACGAAGAACACTGGGAATTGAATTCCTATTTCGAATCTACTTGCAATACTTACCATATTACCACGCGTTTTGTTGTTTTGAGCTTCCTTTTTTGTTTGTTCCTGTCCTTTTAATTTTGTTTATTTGCCTTATTTGGTAAGCTGAAGTCTCACCTGCCTTTATGCCTGTATTTTGATCATTTTAATGTCTTGCTGCGAGGAAACGAGATTTAACTCGGCGTAGTGCAGATTACTTTTGCAAAGAAAAGAATTTAGAAAAAAATGTGGCTTTTCTTTTTTTTATTTCAATTGAATACACACAGGCTCTTAATGAAAAACACCTGAGCTTGAAGTATTCAATCCTTTTGAAGATTTCTATTTGGAGAGCGATGAATCGCAAAATTTTAAGTCTGATGCTGCGTCAAACAATTTTTCTCTTTGTCGATCCGAACCTAATTGAGGAGGCCTTGCGGCCTTAATTGTTCACTTCTGTTTCCTTCCAAATACTGCGCATAGCATCAGTTTTCTGTTATAGCGAGTAGATTACAAGGTAAAGTATCAAGGCTTACGTAGCTTGTATGCCAATTCTCATAAAAATCAGATATTGTGAATTTTGTTAAATTTTTTCTGGAATGTTTTTTTTTTAAATTCTGAGTTGAGAGGGGGGGGGGGGGGGGGGGGGGCTGGAGAAAAAGAACCCCTAATTGTTCTCCTAATTTCCACCCTGGGGAACCATTTCCCTATGCCCGACTTTCTTTGAAATTGTCTCTGTTTTATTGATTTTACCTCAGTGCCAGCACCAAGTCAATTGACTTTTTCACCCCGTCGCAAGGTAAGATAATTTCTATTTTGAATGAAGTCGATTTGTTCATTTTTTAGGTTTCAGAAAATTGGTTCAATACATTTCCTGCCTTGCTTCCGATTTGTCGCCCCCTGAATGTAGATAAGAGTTCCTTGCCTACTATCTCGACCTCTGTTCCCTATAGCTCCAAAAAACGGCTCTGCTGATGTCTGAAAATGTAAATGGTAAGATTAGTTCAAGTTTTTCTGCTATTTTTTGGAGATTCCCTCATTTTTTTTGTGTCAGCTCGAGTTTTTTTGCAAGAGCTGCAAAGCGTATGCTTTTCCTTCTTTTCAAGTTATTAAGAGGCGTTGTTTCTTGCGCTGTATCTAAATGCTGCTTTATATTGACAATCACTATTAAAATTCGATTTGGTTCGCATTTGCAATTATTTACTCTCTAGCCTGATCAAATTTAACCGTAAAACATTCATTATTTGCCACTTTCGGGTTTTTGCTTAAAGGTATTTAAAAATGAGTATGCGGATCAGAATGGGGTCTTTTTTCCGCTCAAAACAAATTAACTGCGACTTTTTTTCCACTTAGAATTTTCATAGCATTTTTTGCTAGAGGCTCCGAGGCATAATTATACGGTCAGCTTATTTGGAACTGAACCGAGATAAAAGATAAAAAGAAGTATTGGTTCCTCCTTCCTTGCGGTATTTTTTATCTCTATCCTGTATATCAGTTTATTTTTTTCTTCGTCTATTTACGGAAAAATCTGTAAGATAGAACGAACCCTCCTGCTAGATGATTCAGTTCCCAAAAATCTTATGAACCGATCAAATTTAGTTTCAAAAAGTTTAGACGGATTGAAGCTGGGGATTCTGTTAGTTTTGGACAGTTTTAAGGGCGTTGATGGGTTGATAATTTTTCGGCAAATTTCTAGTGTTATAGAATGAAGTGAATTGTTGAAAGTCTTTTGACGCAGGATTTTTTTGGCAATTTCCATTATTTAGCTGGCTTTCAAAAATCTTGTAGATAGTAACCGTTTAATAGCGATACTCTTTTATATTTTTGCATTTTGAAAATTGGAAAATGATTTGGTATGTCCAAAAAAAATAAACAACATTCTAAGAAAATTCATTTCTTGTAATTCATTGACAGAGCTAAATTTATATGATTGTTCGGGTTTTTGTTCTCTGGAGGTTAATTTTTTTAAAGGTTTATGAAAGTTTTTATAATCTCAGTTTTTTTCTGGAAGACAACTTTTTGACAATAACTTTCTAATTTTTCCAATTAGGTATAGCTGATTTAATTTAATGATGAGCTAGAAAGAATTGGCTACGGAGCTGGTTTTTAACATACTAGTACTAGTTTATTTGTTTGGTCGTTCAAAAATGCTGTGTTCCCTAATAAAAACCGAGGTACAGTATGTGGCTAATTCGAGCAGTAAGCTTTTTTAGTTCTCTATATTGCTATCAAAACGGGCATAGTTAGTCTAGCGGGTTGGGATCAGCTTTCCAAACCACAAAGCGTTGATTCGAACCCGTGCTGGCTCTTCTTTTTAGAAAATAGGCGGGACCAATCATCTAGACTAGTTTTGTCACGGGACCAAACAAGTAAACTAGTACCAACATAGTTAATGATTGTTGATGTTTAAAAGTCACTCTTTCAATTTTCGGGCGACTTTTGTTCAACTTATCAGATTTGAATCTGTTTCGTTATAACGAAACGTTTGCATATAGGAGTAGCATCTCGAATAAGAAAGTGCAACCAAGGTATGAGTGTTGAAGAAATTTTGGTTCTTCTATTTTTAATTTTCAATACGATTAATTTGATTTTGCTTTTCGTACAGGGTGATTACGGTATCATTGCGATCAGTGCTAATCGTGATTTGTCAGTGCTATATAAGTACTAGCACGTCAAGATCGGTGCCAGAAAATTCATTGAATCTTAAAAAATGGAATCAGCTTTACACATTTTTTTTGGTATTATGAGCAGCTCCCTAAAAATGGAAAAAAATTTTCGACAAAAATTTGCTTCAGAAAAAGTTTAAATTTGTGCTGAAAAGTGTGTCAAAATGAGAAAAAAGGAGCTTATTTTTTACTTAAATATCAGTGTCGGCATTCATTTTATTAGAGCCGTCAGTGCGAGCGATTGTTTGGTCACCTCTTTTTGTTGTACGATCGTGTAATTTTTTGAAAACCTTGGTTTTTATTGAGCTCAAAATGTAGTTTCTCTTATCTTGATTAGAGTTTTTCTAATACTATTTTAGGCAACCGTAAAAGCCCGTAATTAATTTTTTGAAGTTTTCAAACGTGAAAATTTAAAAGGTTACAACACTGCGATTCTTACACAGCAACAGCACGCGGGGCTTGTTTTAGTTTGACTCGATTTCAATTTATATTCATGGCTACTGGTTTCAAAAGGTTCTTCATAATCTTTTTTCGCTACATCACGTTCGACTGTGTTTCAAATTTAGCTATGACAGAAACTTCGTAATGGTTTAATTGCTTTATATGGACTATATACAAATAAGATTGGGTGTCATTTTAAACTGTGACAGTATCATAGCTAAAGTTCAGCACTTTTTTGGCGTTGTTAACTTAGATGTTGAAACCAGGTATAAAGAATTGCACTGATTTTGCAGGTGTTCAAATGTCTGTGACGCTAAACTATTTGACCAACATTGCGATTTTGCGCTTGCGTCAGTCAAAACAAACATCAATGTTCTTACTTTATAGGTTATTTGAACCATATTTATTGAGGTATAATTCAGGTTTGTGTACCAATTTTAGTGTCTATATTTTTCAGATATTTAAATGATGAAGCACAAAAGAATTGATTTGAACCCAAGTTAAAAACATTCCGGTATCTTCTGCCACAATTAATCATGTCATTATTCAATCGAGGAAGAAAGCTTTTAATCAAACGGAAAACTGTTCATTTTATTGATATACTGTTTTGAATCAATTTGGCTGAATTGAGAGTAGTTTGATTGAAAATTAATGCACATTTTTTGGGACTGATTCCTGAAACTGAGATAAACTCCTGAAAATTTACCGTTGTCACTTAGGGCTTTACTTCAATACCGCTACTGCATCATTTCTGAAGGAACTGCAATACACGTTCGACTTGTTTCCGTCTAATACTTATTTTTATATTGGTGATTCTGTTCCAATCATTCGGTTTATAATCCAGCAGCCTGCAGTAAGATAACACGCTGTAAGATCACCCACTGACTGACAACCGAATGTTAGTTGGTACAAATTTGTTCACCAAACAAACCTCTCTTCGTATTCAAATTCAGTCACGTGATTTGACCTGTGCTTTAGGGCAAATGTCTCTGAGTTAGCTGCTTGTATCATCTGGTCTTATTTTACTGTTATAACTGGACTTAAATAGAAAGCCCTTCTTAAAAGCGAATTTGAAGACTGTTTGACGCTTTCGCCTTCCATCAATGGTATTTTTGGAGCACTAATTGTTGCATAAATTATTGTAGAGCTGGTTCTAATTGTTGCATAAATTAGCCCACTGAGTTACTGTATTGACCTACCTTTTATGGCTTAGAACTGAGTTTACGCCACAGCAATTACGAATTTGATTTATACATTGTACCTGCGTCACTTTTCTTCTTAAATTATTCATTTTACCTCAGTTATTTTCTCTTTTTTGAAATAATTGTATTATTTCTTCGCGTATACATATTTTTACTAGTGTCGAAAAATAATTTGCATAAATTCATCATGGCTTATTCAAGAGCGAGAGATATTGAAAGCAGCGAGAACTCCGCATTTATGGACTCAGAAACGTCCACATATTCCAAAATGACATCCAAAAACAATACATTCCAGTTCCTCAAACGTAAAAGAGCAATCAAGCGAAAAATTATTTTTTCAGTTTACTTTTCTTTCGCGTTTTTAATTGTATGTGTTGTACTTCCTCTGAAATGGATCTCAATGTCAAACGAGTTTGCGTCCCAATTTGGTATTCACACTTCGGCTGACGGAGACTTCATTCGAAGCCAAGACAGAGGGTCTGCATTCTTACATTTTGGCTCTGAAAGAGCTAGAAGAGCAGATTCGACGGATCGAAATGAATTTATGAATCAGGTAGAGTTCTTGTGCACTTGACGCCTTTAACTTGACAATGACATTTAAAAAAAACTAAAATGTAACTTAAATTTAATTAAACAAAAAGCCGATTTGAATTTTTTGATGGGAAAAAAACCGTTTTCAAAGTTTTTTTTTCGCAAACCAGCTATAGAACAATTTAGATGATTCAAAATTTACTATGGTGCTGTAATTGCGATGTAACAAAGCTGATTTTGTATGGTATATAAACCAGCCGAGGTATCAACCAGCCGAAAATACGGAAGTGTTATATAATAGTCATGTAACAATTATGCAACAGTTTGGAAAATTATGCAAATTTCATTGATATGACGTAACGTTTCGGCTGGCATATATACTCCGCGTAATTTCGGTTGGCTTATACTTCGGCTGATTTATTTACTCCCTGATTTTAGTTACCATGTAGAAAAATCCATCAAATCCATGAAGCTTTGAAAGAATAGAAGCTTGTTTGTGTTTTTTTTCTGACTATATAACTTTAAAATTAAAGTTAAGGGAGTCAAAATGTTTTATTTACGACTGGTCAAAAACTCCAAATAAAAATTCATCGGTGGGCAATTAAATTTTGTTGCTAGCTTGTAAAATATCTTGAAAAAAATAGCTTAAATGATCTCAAATGTTCCCATATGCCTACAGCAATCGAACAACAATATTTATTTTTTCATTTGAAGCGCTTGCATTAAAATCTCGTGGATTCGAAACCACATAATTGCACTCAAAGCTCCTCTAATAATAAATTTTCAACTTTTTTCTTTTTAAAATTGAAAAGTTTTGGCTTGAAATCAGAAATACGTAGCAAATTATTAAAGAGCTTCGTGTGGTTGTTTAGAGCCATTCCGCTGAGCAGTTGAGTTCAAACTCGAGCAATGACGTCACGACAGTCGTGGCCGAGGAGGAGTGCATTCCGAGAGCAGTGGACGAGTTCCCCCAGGGACCCATCTCGCAGCGAGACATTCACAATGGGGCGTTCGTTTTGCACATACTCATAGCACTCTACATGTTCTTGGCTCTGGCCATTGTGTGTGATGATTTCTTCGTGCCCTCCTTGGAGATTCTGTGTGAGAAGTGCCACATGAGTGAAGACGTGGCAGGTGCTACTTTCATGAGTGCCGGAAGCTCCGCCCCCGAGTTCTTCACTTCCCTCATTGGTATGTTTAATGCTAAATACATGAAAAACAAGGATAGCCTATTACTGTGCAAGTAGCTCAGAATGTTCCGACCATAGTCTTAAAAAATTACAACAAAAAAGTTTTTTTTTTTCAAATTATAGTCTGTGTTTTTCTGCGTGGTCTGAAAAACAAAGATCTGAATGAAAAACTAGAGCTTAGGCATATTCGACAGTCATAGCAAAATAAGCAACTTGGAAAACAATTTTTGTTTAAAAAAATAATTAAAATTTTTTTTTTTAGTTTAAGTTTCAACATTTTTAGTTTCCAAAAAGGCGCTCACCTACTCAAAAATACTTACTTTATTCGAGTAAAAACAAGCTTTTACCGCTTAAATTAAGCTATTGTAAGCTTTCAAGCTATTAAAATAAACTGTTGTAAGCCTGCTCGCTCACTCGAAATTAGACGAAAAATCAAAAATTGCAAACCAGTTTTTCTCGACACGGGGAAAGTTTTATGAAACTTTTTAATGTCGTTCGAATCTCGACTGAATGGCATATCACTCTGCTCTCTCCTACGGTTGCTTTTGCGTGGAAAACAAAAAACGAACACACTCTTGAATACAAAGTTCCTCCCCATTTTTCAAATGATCGGAACAATTACCCTTAAAAGCCAGAGATTAAAAATGTAAAAAACTGGCTTCAATGCTAGTTTTGAAGACGAGAATTCGTTTCAGAAGGAATTGATTTGGTTAAATAAGTGTTTTACGAATTTCCTAATGGCAAAAACTAGCAGTCTGCTGTGATATCCTAGCTGACTCACATCAGCTAAAAAATTGCAGCAGGCGGCTAAATTTTGCCCATTAGAAAATTCGTAATACACTAAATGTACTGATCAGTTCTCCATGGAACGAATTCTCGTCTTCAAAAATATTATTGTTCATAAATCGATGTAAAATTTTTCGGCTTGATTTCCCCCTCATTATCTGCCGTTTTTGGATAATTTTTTATGAAGCAGATTTTTTTTTTGCTTTTTTTTGCTCAGTTGATAGCCCAATATTTCTTAAGCTTTTGTTATCTGTTCTATAATTTGCTGCGAATTGTCTATGAAGTTAACGGCGCATGTATTAAGTGGCGCATGATTCAATTAATCAAGTATGCACTTTGCATGTGGATGGGAAGGAATAAATACCACGGTTCCTTTCGAATATGATGTTATCCGACGCTAAAAATTATCTCTTTTTTGAATTTAACTTGTGAGTGCAAATGACTCGTAATTAGGATTTGGACTTGTTCACCGAAACCAACTTTGTCGCAAAATTGTAAGAAATCGGACTTGCTTGTTAGGGAATCTAAAAAACGTCTAGAACTTTCTAGAACTTCCAGGCCCGGGATACTCCTTGTTTTTTTTAGTAGTGTCGAATAAAATATCAAATGAAAGCTTTGACAATAAAAAGTGTTTCTTTTTAATCAACTGTTTTTTTTTCTGGGAATTTAAAATGGATTGCTTGATTGATGATAAGCGCTTGATGTTGCTTCATTTTTAGATTTAAAAAAAAACAGCGCAACATCAAGCGCTAATCATCTTTCAATCAATCCCTTTTAAATTCCCAAAGTTCAATCAATGTTGAGCAAAAATATTTTGAAATTGTTTGAACTAAAAATTAAGCAACAGTTGACTCTAATCATCACTCAAGCAATCCATTATAAATTTCCACAGTTCAATCAGTGTTGAGCAAAATTTTTTTCATTTTGCTATTTTTTGAAGTAAAATTTGAGCAAAAGCAGACGCTAAGCGCCAATCAAGCATTCCGTTTTAAAATGGATGCTTGAGTAATGATTGGCACCGCTGTTGTTCTATTTTTAGTTGAAAAATCATTTAATTCGAAATATTTTTGCTCAACATATAGCGGGCTTATAGAAGCGTATAGGTACAGCAAATTATAGAAGCAAAAAACAGAACTTGGGAATACTAGGTTATTAACTAGTAAAATTAATAACAAAAATAAAGTAAAATGCCTAATATTTTGAAAAGAAAAAAATTCACAACGCTACTGGTTTGTATATTAAAACGCTTTTTGGCTAATGAGTCTGCTACGATACCTGTATTTGCTGGTTTTCTCTTGTGAACGAAAACAACACGGTCACTGCTGTGGTTTTCCACTCGATCAGTTGATTTGTCATTTTTGTATCAAAGTTGGTGCAGCGCTGTTTTTCATTTTGTTTGAAATGTGTAATTGTTCCGACCATTGAAAGAGGGGATGAGTTTTTCAATACATTTTTTCTCTTAAAATCAGTTGTCACAAACTATCGCATGAATGGGTCGAGTGAAATATCATATTAAAACCCTTTCAGTCTTCAGTCGGTCGATTTTTTGAAGTTTCTAAAATGTTTCCAAATCGAGAAAAATTGAAATTATCTTTTTGATTTTAGTTTAAATTAAAGCGAGCGACTAACGCAAAAAGCTCATTCTTCAGCTACATTTGGTTAAGCTACATCAAATTGATTTTTGTTATGAAGTCAAGGCCACCAATCAGGTGTTTGAAAAATCTCATAAAGTGCGGGTTAGGAATCGAGAGTGGTTTTATTTTACGCCTTTTCGCGATACGGATTCAGAATAGATATTTTACGAAAGTTCTTTTATGTTGAGAAAACTGGATGGTGTTTCCGGTTTTCTCTCCATTTAACAGCAGTGTTGATGGTCCCACTCTAAATCAATCCGGTCACTTTTAAAACTGCCAGCTGACATTGAACAATTTTATCAATTAAAAAAATGATGCGACTCAATTTGAATCCATTCCTGCTACCCAGATAAATTGCATACAAAAAAGAAACTTTTTTTCGGAACTTTCTGTGCGACTTGCACGGCATCTGGCAACTCTTATGTGTCATTGTTGTCATCGATATAATTTTGTTTTGCCACAGGTGTGTTTGTGGCGCAGAATGACGTGGGTGTAGGCACTATAGTGGGCTCTGCAGTGTTCAACATCCTCTGCATCATCGGCATTTGTGCTCTGTTTGCTGGCAAGGTCATCCAGCTCACGTGGTGGCCCCTCTGTCGGGACTCCTCCTACTACCTCCTGTCTGTCATCGCTCTCATCCTGGTCACATTCGACGAACAGGTAATGCCACTCCACTCTGAAGTCAATTGAATCATGTTCAGTTTTTAGTATTTTCAACCGATTTTAAAATAACAAGGATAGCCGGTTACTGTTCAAGTACCACAGAATGTTCCGGCCATAGTTTTTAAAAAAATACCAAAAAAAAAACGTTTTTTTTTCCAATTGGTGTCGTTTTTTTGGCGTGGTGTAAAAAAAAGAGCTGAAAGAAAAAAAACTTCGGCATAGTCGACAGTCTTAATAATATAGGCCTATAGGAAGACAGTCCTATTAGAAGTACAAAAAACTAAAATATTTTTTCTAATTTTTTTGAATTTTTTATTCCCAAAATGGCGCTAAAAAAACTCCCAATAACTATTTTTACTCAAGTAAAATTATTTTTCACGGCTTAAGTTTAGCATGAATCGCTACTGTAAGCCTGTGTGCTCGCCTTAAGAATTTAAACCGATTTTTCTCAACCGGTCTTTCAAAAAAAAATAATGTTGTTCGAATCACGACTGGAGGGGCTTCAATAAGATAAGATATTCCTTTTGATCAATTCCGATTATTGCACTAGTGATCAGCTTAGTGTGCTATTACGAAGATTCTTTTTTCTAACCTAACTCGCAAATAAAAGTGTTCATTGAAAGTGTTCACTCAATTGGAAATTTCACTGTAGCATTGGAAATTGCATAGCATGTTCTCTACTTTATTTATGGCTAGTTTTTGTTATTTATTAAGCGTCCGTGTCTGAGTGGTTAATATGCGAGGCTCATAATCTCTAGGTTGTAAATCGAATCACAGACATAGCCAATTTTTTTAAACTAAGTCGAGGCTTATTTCTACATTTTCTAATTGCACTTTATAGAGCTCCTTTTTGCCATGTTTTCGCTAGTATTTGCGAAGCGAAACTTTTGCTCTGTGTTATTTCTGACTCCTGATTTTGCGTGGAACACAAAAAAATTAAAAAACGCCCGAAAACAAAATTTCTCCTAAATTCAGATTGCTCGCTGTTTGAAGAATTGAAGTAATAATAAACTAATCTTTGCTCCACCATTTGAAATCAAGGTTAAATTAAACGTTGAGACCACCTTCAAATGTTTTAAGAATGTTGGGAAGCTTTCGAACAATTTTGAATGATGGTATTCGCCTTGAATTTTTTGGTTCAATTCTGTGGAATTTGGAAAAGCTAATAATCGCGTTGCTTGTTTTTATTAGTTTCTGCTGTTACGAATTGCGAAATCTAAAAAAATGAAATATTATATGAAACGTGTAATTGTAGCTGTGAGTTTTTATATCGATTTGTAATGTTTTGATGGCAGTCTATCCGTAAGTAATTGTTTTACTTTTTAGGCTGTCCGCTTCGGTGCTTGGCTCAAGAGTTTAGCATGAACTTTTTTTTCATGAATGATTAAGGTTTTTGCCGAAGAAATGTTTAATTTAAGATGATTACGCTCGTAGTTAGCGAGCCTTATCAAACCGGAGTATAGACTTTTTTCTGGTTAACAACTTGTCTAACAGAATCACTTGCGTCCTGGTTCATAATGAATTCAAACTTCTATGCGTGGCCGGCACTTAGCCTGGAGGCGAAAAATAGACCGGGGACGGTAAAAGTCGTTGGTTCGAATCTGACTAGGAACTGTTTTTTTTTTTCAAACTAGAAATACTCTTTTTACAAAATTGTCGGCCTATAGTTCGTCTGCTTATGTTTTGACGGCTTAGTTGCTGCATCATAGGATTAATTTTTTGTACGTAATTTTCAAACTTAATTGGGCTTAAATGATTTCATCTTATATTTTATCGGCTTAGTGACCTAATTTGGGGTCATTTCAAAGGAAGCATAAATTTTATGCTTGTTTCAGGATCGCGCAAATTTGTTAGAATAGAGTTTATAGCTCAAGGTTTTTCAATGACCACAAAAATTTCTTAGGTTCTACGGGAAATTATTTTAGTTTCGTCGGCTCAGTTGCAGCTCAATAGTTTTTTTTGAATTTTCATTAATTGCCGACTACTGTGTTTCTGGACGTGTTTTCCGCAAATAAAACATGATTCCAGGCAACATTTCGAGTTTTTTAAGTTGCGTTTTTCTATTTTTTGGACTTAGTGGCTTTCTTTTTCTGTCTGCTTAATTGAAGTGCTGTTTTTATTTTGTATCGGAAGTGGTGCGAAGCTCAATTTTGCCTCTGTGTTTGATTTAGTTTGTCTATGTTCCGTTTTTGAATAGATCATTTGGTACGAGTCAGTTGTGTTAGTGGTCCTTTACGTCTTCTACATTCTACTCATGACCTTCAACCGCTACATTCAGGCGGCAATCAACAAACGCTTCAAAAACCCAGTCAATAAAACTGCCGCCGAGTCGCCAGTGAGAGGAATTGCACTGAAGACTTCAGACTACGGATCTCCAATGGCAAAGTATGCGGTGTCGCAGCCGTATGTTATTTCGACCAACGACAAAGAAATTTTCCAGCCACGAGACTTTGCTGATGCGTCGTTACGAGTCATGCTGAGTAAGAACTTCAAACCAGCTTGTCGTATGAGGGCGGCTGCGAGAATTATAATCGCGGCTCGAAGACGCGAAGCTCAGATCACTCTGGTCACGGATTCGACTATTGATAAGTTGGCAGTGGTTGCTGGATGTCAGCAGACACAAGTGAACAATTACCAGATCCATCTGGAGAAACGTCCGGAGGACGAGATCACCAAAGACACGACCAATGAACAGGTACGATAGTCCATCCAAATTGAAGTGAAGCAAAAATTGAATTATTTTTTACCGAAACGTGCGTGAGATCTTACGGCACAGTCCCCGTCTTAAAAATGTTCACAGTTTTTCATGCTTAAAGCCTTTCTGACATTTAAAGCCTTAAAAACGCCTAAAAAATAATTTTTTTTTCAATGCGATAATTTTATTTCCTTTGCTTTCAGTTTCTAGTCATCCAGTTTCTGGTCTTCGTTCAATTTCTTGTTATGTTTCAATTTTTTTCCTTGAAATTTGCAATTATTTGGCTTCCGGGCTTTTCTCATTTGGCATTTCATCTTCCAGGAGTTTTTATCAGACGTGTGCTATTTTAGCCTTGTGTTGAAATATGCGACTTTTAATTGGATAATGGGAATAATTTGCAGACTTTTAATTGACATTTAGAACGGGCAGCAGGGGGGAGTGGCGGCGGGTGGTGAAGGAGGGGACTCTTCGGATCAGGAGGGTCTGTGTGATGTGCCGAGTGGGTTTCTGGGAGTGGCAAAGTGGATCCTGTTGCTGCCCATCAATTTGGCCTTCTTCCTCACAGTGCCAGACTGCAGAGAAGAAAGGTAGTTCCTGTAGGCATGTTTACGTATTTCAACTCCTAGCATAGTTCTAGCCTCAGTTTTTGATAACTAATGACAATAATGATTTGTTTGCAAATTGGACCCCACATCATTGATTGCAAAATTAACAACTACAAACCAAATTAAATCTATTCGCGAGAACGCCGTCGAACTTCACAGTCCGTTTCCAGGCCTGAATTAGTTAATTTCCCCTTTTTCAAATACGATGAATGATAATAGAATTTTAGACTCTTATATAGGTCGCTATTTTTTTCGTTTTCGGGAAAAGTCTTTAAAATTTGTTCAGGCTCAAAATTACTCTTTCGCGGTTTGACTTCTGTTTTGGTTTTAAGTTCATTTCATTTCTTTTGATAAATGAAGGCACATTCAACTATCGAACAGCAAAGGACACCAAAAACGTGATCGACTTCTAATTTCGTAGGTGGAATTTAGTTATAGATTTTTCAGCGAAATGAAAATTTTACTTATTGATCCTATTTTCTCAAATTGCGCTAATTTTATCGAAAATTAATCATAAATTCTTCCAGAAATTCGAAGAGCTGTAAGGCCATCTTTTTAATGTGAAATTCGAAAGTTGAGGTTTTTTAAATTAAAAATAAGTCCGTTTTTTTTCTGTTTACTTGCGTTCATTGACCTATTCCATCTTTTTGTTGGTTATGTTCTTGTTCACAGCATCTATGCTTTATCGGCGTATGATCAATAAACCGCCAAATCTACGAACCGCCATACATTGAAGCCGAACTTGCATCGGAACTACGTAACAATTGCATAACAACAGTGACACTCTGTTGTTACGTTACATAACAATATTAATTTTTGGCTTGTTGGAATGGTAATCATACCACCGCTTTATCCTTTATTTTTTTCTGGTAGGTGGAAGCGTTGGTTCGCAGTGTCCTTCATCAATTCTATTCTGTGGATCAGTGTGCTGTCTTACCTGATGGTGTGGATGACAGCCATTGTGGGCGATGCCCTCCAGGTCCCGGACACAGTGATGGGAGTCACGTTCCTCGCCGGAGGCACATCCATTCCCGACTGCATGGCCTCCCTTCTAGGTGAGAAGTTAACAATTTTGGCGCATCGGTAGTGATAGTGCCCAGCAATCTTCTGATTGCGGGTTCAAAACGCACATGCGCTGCAATTTACAGGGTGAGCTTTTCTGAGATAGCCATCGCTTAGTTAACTTTAAATAGTAAATTTTTGAATTAGACCTCTGGCTGGTTAACTATGCTCTTTTCCAGTCCCATGCCCGCCTCCTTCATTTTTCCTGAAATTTAATATATAAAATTGTTTTTAAAATGGCTTTTCAAGTTAAAAACTGCATCAAAACGTGTCATTGTGAACAGGTGAACAAACTTTTACAACAGTTCTCGCATGCAAAATGCCGTGTGAACAATTTATGAACAGATTTATTTTGTAATTTTACAAGGGGGGTGGGAAACTGGAAAAGAGCCGTTAACTAAAAAATATTAACATCGTTTATCTTTGAATTAAATACTTCATATCCATGAAAAGCAGGCAAAATATCATTTCAAATTAGGGCTACCTATCCACTATGGGAAGGAGCAAAATGTCGTACTAGCTGTTTAGACCTTTACGGAGAGCTGTTTGCTGTGCTGCTAATAAAGAACAGCGCTATTTTTTTGGTTGTTTTTCTGGGCTGGGAAATTTTGCCTCCACCGCAAGCTGCGAGCACCATGGACGTCTCGAATGCCATGCTTCACCATCACTCCGCTTTACACTTGCAATCAGCTAAGAGTACTATTTTGAACCTTCTTTTTGTAACCTAACTCCCAAATAAAAGTCTTCGTTGAAATTGTTCACTTATTTGGAAATTTCATTGTAGCATTAGAAATTGCATAGCATTTTTCTCTGATTTATTTGTGGCTAGTTGTTGGTGCCTGTTAAGCTTCTGTGGCTGAGTGCGACTGGTCGCATGTTCGAATCTCAGAGGTAGCCGAATGTTTACTAATTCGAGGCTTATTTCTATTTTTTATTACTGCACTTTATAGAACTGCTTTTTTGTCGTGTTCTCGCAAGTATTATTATAGAGACTTATCCTAATGAAATCTACTTCACAGACGTTTTCAAACGGGCTATATGGTCTAATTACGTTCTCTCAGACTTGAAATTAAGTAATATTTTTTTATAATAACTCTTGAAATTTAACTTTAAACCTGAAAATATTTAATTGTTGACCATTGAAAATTGGGAAAAATTTGTCTTCGGTTTCTTTTGTTCTTTGTTATTACAAGATGTAACTGTATTATGTGAATTGTAAGCGAATTAAAACTACAAAGCCGCTCCCTTTGATCCTTTTTGATCATGTGTTGGTTTTGATCGGGGTGACAAAATTTTAACACTATCTAGTGCACAGTTTGGCTTCAATGTTTTTTTTTCCATGCATAATTAGGTACCATTGTTAATCGTCGGAATGAGTGAGGAAGATCATATTAAAGCCTTTTCAGTCGTGATTTGAACGACCCTATTAGTTTTCCGAAAAAATTATAGCGTCGACAAAGTTTTTTCTGAGTTTGTCTTATTTCGAGCAAGTAAAGCAAGTTTTTGCTTTGATTGCTCAAAATTAGACTAGAAGTGTTCTTTGAAGTAGTGAAAAATTTAGTTTTACTCACTCCGGGGCAACTGGTTGTGGAAGCTTCTAGTAGCGCATTCCTGGCGCTAAAGTTATATTAAACTTCTCAAAAAAACTCTGCTAAAAATCGGAAAAAAATTATGAACGTGGTCGAAACTTTCTGGGCTTCTTGCAGAGCAACCGGGTATACTTGACAAGTTTTACTCGAGGTTTTTTAATGGTCTTTGAGTATAACTAAAAACCAATTATTTTGTTAACACTTTTCAGATTGTTAGCTTAGATGAATCGTCCGGCTACAATAACGGCTACAAAAATAAATTCTTTGTTTGCTACTTAGATATCTCTAAGTGGAGAAAATCTTTAAAATTTTAATCTTCAAAGATTTTTTGGAAGATTACTTTATTAGACAAATTCAAGCTGCCAAAGTGGCTGGGAGCTCAGAAAATAAAGTGCTAGAAAAAAGAAGAACATTGGGAAAGCACTTTCTTTTTCGAATCTGCTCGTAATACGAAATAATCACCAAAATAGCAACACCGCATTTTGTTGTTTTGAGCCTCCTTTTTTATTTTTTTCTTTTCCCTTCAATTTTATTTTCTTACCTTATTTGGGAAATTTAAGTCTCGCCTGCCTTTATGATGTATTTTGATCATTTCATGTCTTGCCACAAGAAAAAGAGATTAAACTCAGACTATTGTTGATTAATTCTGCTAAGCAAAGAATTTAGAAATAATGATTTTTTTGATGTCAATTGAATACTTACTGTTACCGCTTGATGTGCTCCTATTTAAAAACAATGCGCAATTTCTAGTCGTTTTTCTGGGCTGGGAAATGTTGACTCCACCTGCAGGCAGCGAGCCCTATGGAAGTCTCGGATGCGATTTAGATTCCTGGGACAATTCACCATCACTCCTCTTAACATGCAGAAATAATATAGGAGTTAATTCTATTTTGGAAAATATACCAGAAACTATTGAAAACGGACTGTGTGGTCTAACTATTTTTTCCAAGGCTTGAAACTAAGTCGTAAATTATTCAATCACCCTTTTTTCAACTTTGAAATTTAATAATTGTTCCGATGTTTCAAAATGGAGAGGAATTTTGTCCTGGGGTGTCTTTAATTTTAGTTTTTGTTTGAAACTTGTTTTTTTTGTCTAATTTCGAGCGAATATAATAGACTTATAGTAGGATTAGAATAGTATTCTTATAAATCAAGTTAACCTAAGAAATTCAGCCTTACTCCTAGAAAACTAGATTTTGAAATTTCTTTAGGCGCCTTCGAAATAAATTCGAAGACGTATTCCGAATAAAGTTAACATCCAATCACCTAAAAGCGTTTGGGTTCGAATTGGTTTCAATTGCTTTTAGTTTGCTACACATAATTCATCTTCAGGCTTTTCTATGTGATATTGAAGGTGTGTGCTTATCGTGATAGAAAAAGTTACGTGACTTGGGGATAAAAGTTCACTTGACTGGTATGACGCTAAAAGTAGCAGGTTTTCAATTTATAATTAGCCTGGGGATGCTTCCGTAAACGGGAAGTTTAATCCTATCTTCTCTACAATGCCCAGGAAAACTTAAAGAACAACCCTTTTTGATTGATTAAAAGAAAGCTACGGGGTAGTTTAGATTTGTCCAGGATGGCGATTCACTATTGAATGCATTTATTGTATTCATTATGTCAAGGTCAATAGCTTCACTTTTTTAGTCTAGACAACCAAAAGAGATTTTTTTGTGAATATGATTTCACATCGAGATGGGTAGTAAAAATGATCAAACATGGCAATCACTAAACTTGCTTCATCTTGCTTCATCGAGGAAAAATATTCTTGCACGTAAAAATTTGTCATGAAAATAGAGTATTTCGTTTATAGGTAATTTGTGGTTTCTGCTGTTTCTTAAATACTCAAGAAGTAAATATATTGTTTCTGAAGAAGTTAATGCGGTCTGGAAATAGTTTCACGGGGAGAGCGCAGTGTGATAGTACGATACAAACCACCGCCCTCAGCCCACCCCCTCCCCCCAAACCTAAGTCACAAATAATAGCAACCGGGTTTTTCCTTGAAATAGCAAAGGAAGAAACGCTTTAGAATGAACCGCTCCATTCAAATTGAGCTGAACCATTTGTTTATTAAAATAGTTTGAACAGAGGCAAAGTTACATAAAGCTTTAATTGTTAATCTTGACCGTGCATTTTTATCTCTCGTGCCAATAAAAGTGAGAGACGAGTCGTGAGTTACTGGTTCTTGCCACAAACTGCTGTTGTTGATGCTCAATGTAAGTTTCACGATGTCTGATGTTGCCTTCATTCAGATTTGATGTGTATTTTGTTTTTAGTGGCCAGACAAGGTCTGGGCGATATGGCAGTATCCAACAGCATTGGGAGCAACGTGTTTGACATCCTGGTCGGACTGGGGATGCCCTGGTTCCTGAAGACAGTCGTGATCTCGTGGGACCACACCATCGAGATCAAGAGTCGAGGACTCAAGTACTCTGTCGTGCTTCTATTCATAAGTGTAGCCGTCACTATAACTGCCATTGGATTTAACAAGTGGAAGCTGAACCGAAAGTTGGGAGTTGTCTTTCTACTCACTTACGTGGCCTACATCATAGTCGCATGCATGATTGAATTGAATGTCTTTGGCGACATAAACCCCCCGACTTGTTGAAAAGTCGAAAAATCACCAAGCCGAAATCATGCCACGTGAAATATTTCAGACCCATGCATGGTCAAAACTGGTGCAATGATACGACAAATCTCTACGAATTGCAACAATTTTTATACAGTATTCAAGAAAAAAGCAACAAGAACAACGCGGCTGCAAAAACTGATTGAATTCGAAAAAATTTTTGGTCTGCTTTTGTCAATATATTTAAGTTTAAGAAAACGGACTGCAAACCTTGCCCTAATTCATGAATAATTTCACAAGTGCAGAAAAAACGCAACTAAATGAGCTATTTAATCTGTAAGCTCGAATTGACTTCATGTGATTTTGATGGAAATGTGACGTCTCGAATGAGCTGTTAGTTTTCGGGACGATGTTCAAAGTTTGCTCCGTTTTTTGTTTGCCATTTGAGTTAATTTTTTGTATTTTAACAAGTTTAACTTAAGATTTTTGCGCCAATGGAAATAGTTTAAAAAACAGAAGATTTATTTTGGTATTTACTTTTATTTAAGATGAGACTAACAAGTAAAACTGTGCAGTACGTTTGTCCATTTGTGATTTATAAACTATAATTTGATGACGAAAAGAGACTTAATTTATGTTCTTCTGTATTAGCAGATAAAAAGGTTTTAACAGTTCTGTTCACTTGCTCATTATTTTTTGAGATTTTAGCCTCGAGGAAAAATGCCAACTTACACACTACTCTGTTTTTATGTGGAGCCGCTCTTTGTACCTTGTTAAGACTTAAGACTTCAATGCAGTCTTAAAAGAAATAATTTTGCTGCGATATGTTTGTTTCTCTTTCAAATAATGGGCGGTTCAGGGGCGGATCTAGGATTTTTCGAGGGAAGGGGGGCGGATTTTCAAAAAATGTTCGAAAATTTTGACGACCTTTTTTTTTTAGGTCGATCAGATTGATTTCCCGAGCTCTCCCAAAGCAGTAAAAAGACCCTGTTTTGGCCAAATTTTCTGCGCCGCAGACAATTTTTTGAAAAAAACAGGTCAAAAACGCCGTTTTTGGGCACTTTTTGGAAAATTTGGACAAAAAAATGCGTTTTTTTTGGCGCGCGCTCCCCCTCAAAATTAGTATATATTGGCGCCAAAGGCGCCTTTAGAAAAATTTTAGGGTCGGTCGGCCAAAAATGGATTCTTAAAAAGTACCAAAGGGGGGAACCTTTGGGTTGGCAGGGATTCGAATCCCTGAGGGGGGGGGGGGCGTCCGCCCTCCTCCCTAAATCCGCCCCTGGGGCGGTTCATGATTTTGAGCGAGTAGAATTGTGTTTTTTACGGAGAGTTTAGCCACTTCAACTGACCACCCCAATTTTTTTTTAATTATCCCAAGAAGATGTTTTGATTGAAGAAGCTTTATTGATGACGATGGGCGTCGAAAAATGATATGCGAGAAACGAGGTCATACCGCTTGATGTGCTCCTATTTAAAAACAATGCGCAATTTCTAGTCGTTTTTCTGGGCTGGGAAATGTTGACTCCACCTGCAGGCAGCGAGCCCTATGGAAGTCTCGGATGCGATTTAGATTCCTGGGACAATTCACCATCACTCCTCTTAACATGCAGAAATAATATAGGAGTTAATTCTATTTTGGAAAATATACCAGAAACTATTGAAAACGGACTATGTGGTCTAACTATTTTTTCCAAGGCTTGAAACTAAGTCGTAAATTATTCAATCACCCTTTTTTTCAATGAAAAACTTTGAAATTTAATAATTGTTCCGATGTTTCAAAATGGAGAGGAATTTTGTCCTGGGGTGTCTTTAATTTTAGTTTTTGTTTGAAACTTGTTTTTTTTTGTCTAATTTCGAGCGAATATAATAGACTTATAATAGGATTAGAATAGTATTCTTTTAAATCAAGTTAACCCAAGAAATTCAGCCTTACTCCTAGAAAACTAGATTTTGAAATTTCTTTAGGCGCCTTGGAAATAAATTTTATTAACGTTTTCTAACTTTTTTATTTTTTTTTTTTCAATTTTCATTTGTCTCTTGAAGAAATTGATGGCATATGCATCCTAGTTAGCATTAAGATCGAAGTTTCTTCTCAGGTACTTTCGGCTATTTTTAAAACGGTTAGTAATTTTTCTTCCGATGCTAATTTCCTCTTCTTCTGTCTTGTATCAAAATAAAAAAAAATCATTTTGTCTCTTTTTTGCATTTTCGGCGAGCAATGCAAAGTCCAAAGAGTTTGCCAGTCCCTAGTCTTAAGCTAGCGTCCAGCTTTATGGGTAACCGTTCCGGGATTAATTAGCTAGAGACAGCTTTTTCAAATGCGAGTGAAGGCAGTGTGTTTTCTACATCACCGGGAGGCTGCAAGGAGACATCTTTTCTGACAAAATTTGAAAGACAAATTTCAGCTCTTAAGTACATACAAAGTGCAAATGAACAAATTTTAAGGTTAAGTTCACCATAGCGAGCAAGAAATTCAAATCAATTTTTTCTTCGTTAACATGCTTATCAGTTTTTTCCTAATACTGGAGTGCCAACCACTGAAATCTAACTGTATACCACAATGCCAGTCCTCTGCATGTGTTGTTCTGGCCAAAACGGTTGATGCTGTACTTCTTTAATTCTTTAGTAAAGGGGATTTAGGACTTCTGGATTGAAGACTAGAGTTTAAATGTAATCGGATTTAAAAAAAGGCTTAGCTTATCATTTTTTCCGACTTTTTTTCACTTGCAAGAGAAATAGACTTAAAATCGGGAGCCAGATTTTCCTATAAATTTTCCGCTTTCTGCTTCTCAAACTTGGTCAATTTACCGAAATTTCAATAATAACTTTTCGTTTTTTTGAAGGTAATAATTAGTTTTTTTTACAATTTTTTTGAAGAAATAATGATTTCTGTTTTAACTTACATTTTTACCTTATTGTTTAATGTCAGAGTTCCTTTTTTCGGAATGCAATTCATATTAGCTGTTACGTTTTCTAAGCTTATTTTTTCTCAAGCTCGGGGTTTATTACTGTATCCTATAACTTTTTTTCACTGTACCCCACTTTGTACAGCCTATGAAACAGTCACCTGGGGGAGATTTCGACCCAAGTTTTAGGATTTTTTCCGTTAGCTACCTTCCCAAATCTGAGATTTTGCATTTTTTGGAGTGAAAAAGATGTGGATAGCTCCCCTGTTGAAAAGGGTTTTGCCCTAATGTTTTCACAAGAAGTTGTTGCCCTCGGAAAAGTTCAAGAAATAACTGCCCTCCCAGATCTAAAATTTTTGTTTCAATCGCACTCATAGTTTAAGTGAAGCTCCTCTGCTCTAGCGGCGATTTACAATTTTCTTCGGAAAAAAATGTTATGGCACTCGAAAAAGTAAAATGATTGAATTTTTGACATTTTCTTAAACTTTGACTTTTTCAAACATATTCTCCCAAATCAGAGAGTTTGGGATCAATGGAGAGAACGAGTTGTGTGTAGCTCCTCTGCATTAGTGGCTATGCCTAGTTTGCTTAAACCTAAAATGTTATCGTCCTCGGAAAGTTCCTAATTGTTATTTTTTGACCGTTTTTTAGGTTTAATTTCTTTTCACATAAACTACCCTGGTAAATCTGAGATTTTGAGTTGAATCGAAAGAACAGGTTTTGTGAAGCTCCCCTGCAAAAGCAGCTTTACCCAAAATTTTGCAACAAATTTATGTTCTCTCGGAAAAGTCAAATTGTTGATTTTTTGACCATTTTCGAAACTTTTTGTCCTGTCTCAAATTTCGCCCTCCGTTTTCTGAAGCTTTGGGGCAATCAAAAGAATGAGCTGTGAGAAATGCTTTTGCTTAAGCGACTTCGCCGTAATTTAACATGAAAAGTTGTGTTCCTCAGAACCAGTCAAATTTATTTGATCATTTGAACAGTTTTTATTTTCCTTGTATCTCAAGTTTCTCGGTCCTTTCGAGAGGAACTTTTTCTTCGGGTGAGTTTTTGTTTTTTTTTCTGTTTTTTTGCAAAAAATCTTAAGCGTATAAAAAAAGTTTTTGTAAAATCTTTGAGTTTTAGTCTTATTTCGTGCAAATATAGCTAGCGAGCAGGCCTGCAATACGGAAAAAGGACATTAAAAATTAATGTTTTTTTTAGGAATATAAGCTTTAGAAGCTTGTTTTAACGCCTTCTTGACATTAAAAGGTAATCCTAAAAAAAACTCTTACTAAATTTGAAAACAAAAATTGCTCTTCAATTTTTTCGTCCTCGTTCAATTTTTTGATTGAAATTGCAACTCATTTAAGTCTCTCGATCTGATTTTTTCTTGGATTCTCTTTGAGGTGTTTTTCCTGACTTAAATAGGTTCCCACCTACAGTACAAAGGTTTTGACGTAATTTCTGTTTCGAAAATATTCCAAGCCGTGAATTCAATTTTTAATAAATTTTGTGTTCTGTTTTGTTTTTGAGATGTGCTAAATTTGCTGATGTGTGCAACAACAAGGAATCATCATTGTTTTGTGTTTTTTTTTCAAGTTCAAGTCGCACATTATTATTTCGCTTTTTTTGGAGACCCAAACAAATAATAGATAATCTCTTCTTCGTGTTTTATAAAAGTGCTTTAACTGTTAATGAATTTGGTTTTATGCTTTCGGTTAGCCATCAAGAACTTTTTCTACGCTCATTGATTAAAACAATTTGTTTAAAATTTTGTTTTTCGAGAATTTAAATCAAGTTCGGCCGAAGGATAATGAAATCAGACTCATGCATTAGTTAATCTTTAGTTGGAAGAAACAATTAATCAAAGCAGGCATTGGTTGGGAGTTGTCGATTGAACAGTTACAGTTACCATTGTTTGTAAGAAATTGAGTTTGAGAGGTTGTTGTGGTTAAATTATCACAGTTCGTGTAAATTCTTGGGAAGTTTATTCGAAATCAATCATAAGAAAAGAGCACATTGGACTAAATAATCAAACATGAATTGAAATTTGCTTTATATCAGCTTTTTTGAACTTAAATAAGAGCGCTTCAATTTTATTTCTGAAATTAAAATTGAAAATAGCTGAGCGTCAAAACGGTCGAACTAATAAGTTGAATATTTATTTTAGTATTGATGGAATAATTGTCACCTGGTTTTTTGGAACCCCCTGGTTTTGTTTCACTTGAAGCAGCAGGTGGATTTTTGTCGACATTGCTCAAAAGTTGGTTTAGCTTCTCATAAGCTTTCAGTTCATTCCCTGTATTTGGGTCATTTTGATTAGCAGGAGGTTGCGCATTTAAAACTGGTTCCGTTTGCTTTGGCACAACTTTCGGTGTGGTCGGTTTCGTTTCAGGTAGTGCGGCTTTCTTGCACTGTT